GATATTTGCACATGCTGTTCAGCAAATTGATGCATGATCCTCGTGCAATTCATCTGCATAGGGTTTGCAGTTGGTTCCCTCAAGTCAAGGGAGAAATTCATCTTCGATGTAACCACATACATATACATAACATATGGTGAGTCTAAACTTTTGATGGGTAGTATATGACGAATACTATACTTTAAGAAACACCTTAACTAGCCCGAAACGTATAGAGTAAAACATGAAACAGCTGGTGATATGATCAAACTTGATACTTTTGTGTTGTAAACAATCGATCTAAACAACTCATAGAGACAGACGCGGTCCAAGTTATGTATCGAATAAACTGTATGGACATCTGCACGTTGAACCAATCGATGTATATTCGTGTTCAGACATATCGTGCGATATTCACTGTACAGTGTGAAGCACTGACGTTGATCATCTTGTCTAAGTCATCATGCCTCTGTCTGCAAGTGTAAAGTCCCAAGGTAAGGTGAGGTGAGGTGAAATTGGGTTTAACGTCGTACTTGAGAATATTTAGCTCATATGACGACGTGCATGCGTGTGTATGTGTATGTGCGGTTGCTTGTACTAGCCCAGACTGAAGCTGGTTTTATAGTGCTAGCCCACTGAGATACCATGCCGCAGTGAAACATGAATACCCTACTCAGACACATTATTCTGACTCCGAGCCGACCAGTCCTTGTTGTACCCATTAATGCCGAGCGCCAGGCAGGGACCAACAAGTACCATATTTTAACGTCTTTTGGTATGACGCGGTCGGGGATCAAACCCGCGATCTTCCGCTCTCCGGGCGGACGCTCTAACCACTACACCACGGAGGCGGTCCCCAAGGTAAGGATATAGTCGTAATACAATTACAAGATAAAACACCTACAGTTGTAATGGGTGTATATGGATACACCTCCACCAGTTAAGTAACATTACAATGGCTGCACCAGTTAAGTAACATTACAATGGCTGCACCAGTCAAGTAACATGACAATGGCTGCACCAGTCAAGTAACATGACAATGGCTGCACCAGTTAAGTAACATGACAATGGCTGCACCAGTAAAGTAACATGACAATGGCTGCACCAGTTAAGTAACATGACAATGGCTGCACCAGTTAAGTAACATTGCAGTATCTGCACGAGATGAGTCACAATAGTAATATGGCAACAAATTCACTCGTTGAGTAACATGACTACAGCTGCACTAGTTGAGTAACATGACTACAGCTGCACTAGTTGAGTAACATGACTACAGCTGCACTAGTTGAGTAACATAGCTACAGCTGCACTAGTTGAGTAACATGACTACAGCTGCACTAGTTGAGTAACATGACTACAGCTGCACTAGTTGAGTAACATGACTACAGTTGCACTAGTTGAGTAACATGACTACAGCTGCACTAGCTGAGTAACATGACTACAGCTTCACTAGCTGAGTAACACTGCCTACAGTTGCACTAGCTGGGTAACATGATTACAGCTGCACTAGTTGAGTAACATGACTACAGTTGCACTAGTTGAGTAACAGACTACAGCTGCACTAGCTGAGTAACATGACTATAGTTGCACTAGTTGAGTAACAGACTACAGCTGCAATAGCTGAGTAACATGACTACAGTTGCACTGGTTTAGTAACATTGCCACAGCTGCACTAGTTGAGTAACATGACTACAGTTGCACTAGTTGAGTAACAGACTACAGCTGCACTAGCTGAGTAACATGACTACAGCTGCACTAGTTGAGTAACATGACTAGAGTTGCACTGGTTTAGTAACATTGCCACAGCTGCACTAGTTGAGTAACATGACTACAGCTGCACTAGTTGAGTAACATGACTACAGCTGCACTTGTTGAGTAACATGACTACAGCTGCACCAGTTGAGTAACATGACTACAGCTGCACTAGTTGAGTAACATAGCTACAGCTGCACCAGTTGAGTAACATGACTACAGCTGCACCAGTTGAGTAACATGACTACAGCTGCACTAGTTGAGTAACATGACTACAGCTGCACCAGTTGAGTAACATGACTACAGCTGCACTAGTTGAGTAACATAGCTACAGCTGCACTAGTTGAGTAACATGACTACAGCTGCACTAGTTGAGTAACATGACTACAGCTGCACCAGTTGAGTAACATGACTACAGTTGCACTAGTTGAGTAACATGACTACAGCTGCACTAGTTAGGTAACATGACTACAGCTGCAATAGTTGAGTAACATGACTACAGCTGCACCAGTTGAGTAACATGACTACAGCTGCACCAGTTGAGTAACATGACTACAGTTGCACTAGTTGAGTAACATGACTACAGCTGCACTAGTTGAGTAACATGACTACAGTTGCACTAGTTGAGTAACATGACTACAGCTGCACTAGTTGAGTAACATGACTACAGCTGCACTAGTTGAGTAACATGACTACAGCTGCACCAGTTGAGTAAACATGAGCTGCACCAGTTGAGTAACATGACTACAGCTGCACTAGTTGAGTAACATGACTACAGCTGCACTACAGCTTGAGTAACATGACTACAGCTGCACTAGTTGAGTAACATGACCACAACAGTTGCACTAGTTGAGTAACATGACTACAGCTGCACCAGTTGAGTAACATGACTACAGCTGCACCAGTTGAGTAACATGACTACAGCTGCACTAGTTGAGTAACATGACTACAGCAGCTGAGTAACATGACTACAGTTGCACCAGTTGAGTAACATGACTACAGCTGCACTAGTTGAGTAACATGACTACAGCTGCACCAGTTGAGTAACATGACTACAGCTGCACTAGTTGAGTAACATGACTACAGCTGCACAGTTAGGTAACATGACTACAGCTGTTAGTTGAGTAACATGACTACAGCTGCACTAGTTGAGTAACATGACTACAGCTGCACCAGTTGAGTAACATGACTACAGTTGCAATAGTTGAGTAACATGACTACAGCTGCACTAGTTGAGTAACATGACTACAGTTGCACTAGTTAGGTAACATGACTACAGCTGCACTAGTTGAGTAACATGACTACAGCTGCACTTGTTGAGTAACATGACTACAGCTGCACCAGTTGAGTAACATGACTACAGCTGCACTAGCTGAGTAACATGACTACAGTTGCACTAGTTGAGTAACATGACTACAGCTGCACTAGTTGAGTAACATAGCTACAGCTGCACTAGTTGAGTAACATGACTACAGTTGCACTAGCTGGGTAACATGACTACAGCTGCACCAGTTGAGTAACATGACTACAGCTGCACTAGTTGAGTAACATGACTACAGCTGCACCAGTTGAGTAACATGACTACAGTTGCACTAGTTGAGTAACATGACTACAGCTGCACTAGTTGAGTAACATGACTACAGCTGCACCAGTTGAGTAACATGACTACAGTTGCACTAGTTGAGTAACATGACTACAGCTGCACTAGTTAGGTAACATGACTACAGCTGCACTAGTTGAGTAACATGACTACAGCTGCACCAGTTGAGTAACATGACTACAGTTGCACTTGTTGAGTAACATGACTACAGCTGCACTAGTTGAGTAACATGACTACAGCTGCACCAGTTGAGTAACATTGACTACAGTTGCACTTGTTGAGTAACATGACTACAGCTGCACCAGTTGAGTAACATGACTACAGCTGCACCAGTTGAGTAACATGACTACAGTTGCACTACTTGAGTAACATTGCCACAAGTGTACGAGATGAGTAATATCTTGAGTAAGTCAGCTACAGTTTTCCTAGCTCATTGTCGTAATTGACAAACACAGCTAAGTAACATCACTTGGAAGCTTAAATATAGATCAACTCATATAACCATGACATGTTTAATCAAGGCTGCATTTTATTTGGTACACATTCCTTGATCATGTCAGTATAGAATCTGAGCAATTAACAAGTGAATGAATTTTGGTTCATCTTCAATATTTTATTTCTATTACGTCATCAGTTTACTATGGTCGGGAGGACCTTGTGCAGGTCCTTGTGAAACATATTACTTGTTTGTTTGTTGTTTAATGCTGCACACTCAGCAATTTTCAGCTAGTTTGCTGCTGAGTTTGCCCAGATTCCAAAAGGCCTATAGCCTGACCCCTTTCAGCAAGTGTCAAAAACGTCTAATTTTAAGCTGTGAATTCAAACAGGTACCTGAACAGTGAACGACAGTGAAAAAGCATCAATGCATGTGTATTGTCCCCCACTTTCCATGGATAGAGCGACTTGCACCTGCAAATCATTTACATTAAATGGCAGGTGGATTTCCATATTGCCAATTTTTATAAGTAATGTGCCATTTGTAACAGAATGTATCGGACATTAAAGAACGTAATAATGACATTTCAACAGCCTGATGTGTTTTTCCATACTGTTAAAAAAGTTTGCAAAACATACAGTTGTATATATTTCAAACAAAACCGAAGATAATTTACAACTTTTAAGAAACAGTGTTACCAATATCTTGACCCTTCATTAATGACGCCGAGTACAGAGTCTTATATTAGCCTCTGTTCTTTAACGCAAAAGCCTTTCCATTTGACAATGGCCAATAACTTACAGAAACAAATCAGTGATTGATATCAAGGGCAACAATGTTGACAAGTGATCAACCAGGTCACCAAGCCTTAAACAACAGGACCAACTCTATCCCATAATCCCACTGGGATGTCAGACTTGGAGCTTTCCTGGATAATTTCCTCAGAATGAATTGTCACATGACTCTACCAAGTAACAACAATATGACTTTACATAATGTTGTATCGTTCCTTCAAATTGAAAGGTTGACACATGTCATCGGTCCCAAATGCGTAGATCGATGCTGATGATGTTGATCACTGGATCTTCTGGTTCAGACCCCGATTATTTACAGACTGCCGCCATATAGCTGGAATATTGCTGAGTGCGGCGTGAAACTAAACTCACTCACTCAAATTGAAATGCCATGGACAATAGACATCATTTCATTGAAAGAACAAAAAGACTTCACAAATCAATTTTATAGATGTTGATTTATTAATGAATTAAGTACCGTTAGTTAGAATCATCAAATTTTATTGACTTGGAGCTTGTCTTGTCTATGTAAAACTTCTTTCCTTCCTCAGGGGGCAGAGCAAAACCGAGCCCAGATGTTTTCTGTTTTGAAAGCCTGAGAGCCAGTGCTTTATCAAAGTCACTTTCGAGGTTCTTGTTGAGTACAGCTTCCTCTGCACGATTTAATGCTGCATTTGAAGGAGCACTTTTGGTCCCTAACTTACCAAATAATCCTGGTTTGGATTGTCCAAGATTACCACCTTTCTTAAATCCCCCTAACAGTCGCATGAACTTGTGTTGTCTCTCATTGTCACCAACAGATGCTGTACCCCACTGTCCAAGGTATGGGCCTGAAGTGTTGCTGGAGTTATCCCCCCCTGACTTGTCCACGCTGCCATAGTCAAAAGGCTGGCAGTTGTATGACATGGGATTCTCCTTACTTGCTTCACCAATTAGTAAACTATTGCGCTGTTCACTGTTTTTGATGCTTGAAGTCTTCTCAATGCTGTCATCATGATTATTGTTTTCCTCCTCTTGTTTATGTTTCTTTTTCTTCTTTTTCTTTTTAGGTTGAATCTCTTCACATTTAGAATCTTCTACAGGTGTTTCCTCATCTTCCTCTCGTTTCTGTTTTTTCTTCTTCTTTTTCTTTTTAATTGCATTTTCTTCATTAATTGTTTCTTCATCACTTTCCATTTGGTCCATTTTCACACTTTTATCCTTCTTTTTACATTTTTCTTTTGATGAATGTGTAATTTCATCTGTATTCTCCAAGACAATATCCATTTCTTGTGTTTTTTTCCTTTTCCTTTTCTTCTTTGCTGGTAATTCAAGCTGATAACCATCTTCATTATCATCATCTTCCTTTCTTTTAGATTTTTTACTTTTCTTTTTTTTAGGTTTGATTTCACCACTTGAAACACTGTCACTGCCGTCTCTGTCAGCCATGTCAGGTTCATGTTTTCTTTTCTTCTTACACTTTTTCTTTAATGTTTCTTTAGTGTTGTCTATGTCATTTTCTGTTTCAAGTGCAACACCACTGTCACTTAAGTACTTCTTACTTTTCTTTTTCTTTCTTGGTTTTTCTTCGGCACAATCATTTTCATCAGTATTCTTAAAATCATTACATGTTACTTCAGCATCAAGGTCTGGTCTTTTCTTTTTCTTCTTAGATTTCTTCTTTAATGTAACAGTGTCACCCATACCTAAATTAAAACAGAAACATTCACTTGAATTCAACCACAAACTTTACCCCACACGATGTATTTCATAATTATTATCACAATTAAGGCTGTTTGAAATGTGTATGTGATGTTGTTATCTTAAAACTCATTACATTTAAATTTCAAAATTATTATTTTGCAAGTGTTTTGTTGGATAATACAGCTGAACGTATTCTTGACCGGAAGGAATGTGTGTTATTGGTCACAACTGTGTTTGGATCATTAGGTCACACAGGACTCAGAGGACCAATCTATATGTATCAACAAATTCGCAGACGACGCTCTTCCTGTGACTTAGTAAATACAGAATGTTGATGAGATCTTGTGCTATAAATGATAAGAAAAGAAGTTCCATCCATTCCCCCATATTGCCCACTTCTTTCTTCCGCAGATTAACAGAGGTAACGCAACATGGTTCGACCATATATATTGTATATAGTTTTGGGGCTTTTAGTTATTTTTGTGAATTCTCTAATAATTGTTGTGTTAGGTTTTGTTAATAATTATACTATATATTAATTTTTATGAATATTTTTTATAAATATTGCCCACTTCTTTCTCTTACCAGAAGAAAAATCGTACTCAAACATCTATGCTTGTCTTGATACCACGTGTTGAGTACTGAGGGGGATATCCCAAAGGTTAGGACGCCGCCTAGCGGGGAAACATTTAGGGGCCCTATTTGGGATGAGAAATACATGTGCTCGCGTGAAGTAAGCTTGTTCCAGAAACCATTTCGGAATACATGTTCTAAATCATATTCTGTAAAATAGCTCCATGTGGTATTGAATCATTTCCACTTTTATGAAAAAATTAAGAGAATCAGTTCATAGTTCTAACTTAATGCTAAATTATGACTCCAATGAAAACATTTAATTAATGTCGAGTTTAGGGGGAATTCCTCAGTAAAATAGTGACGTCGTGGATGACGTCACGGCTTATGTAGATTGATAACAAATGGCGGCCTAGGATGGCACGCTAAGTATTGTTCGACAATATTTTTTATGCACTTTTGTGCATTACACGCGTACATAATTTTGAAGTAATTGTGGTAAGTCTTTTTGTACACTGATAACAAGTAGATAGTTTTTGCAGAATGCCTTGAATTAGTATTATCAGCATGAACTTCATGTCCTGCAACCAGCGGCCGGAAACCAAATAAATATAAAATGGCGTTGATGAAGATTAATATGTCAGTATTTCTTACTGCTGTTTAGAATTTGAATTTGTAATGTGAATGTATTTCGGACTTTTGAAGTTGGAAGATGATATCATATTGTGCCTTTCAACAAATTCTATTAAAAGTGTGAAGACCAAATACAGAAAGGGAATGTGAACTTCGGTACACCCTGCATTCTCAAACTAGCCTATGTGGTAACGTCTTATTACACGGACGATTCGTAATTCTCGATTGAACGAGTTTCTGAAGATATGAACACAGTTCTGTCTCCCGAATTGTGTAAACTGTCAAAGATATCCGTGTTGCACAGGATGTTAAAGACATTTCATTTACAGGCGCCTTTAGAATTCGAATGCTCTGCGCAGAGCAGTATAGTGTCAAACATTTTGTTTCAAACCATATAGTGATTATAGTCCCTCCACGTATCAACATTTTCTATATGGGTTTGAGGAATCAGTTACTGTATCTTGAGATGAGGGAGCAGTAGCCTACAGTTAGAAGTTACAGAAATGTTTAGTGGAATGAGAGGTGTTTATCAACTCAAACAATGTTTGACAGGGTATATTATTATAAAATGACATGGCCATCATTCATTTTGTTTCTGTGGCAAAATGGATTAACTGCTGAATGTGTTCAAGATACATTTATTGTAACACATATGATGCAAGTGCTGAATTAGTGTCCTTGCTTTTCTGTATTGTTTATTTTCTTATAATTCCAAGGCAAGATATGATTTATTTTTTTAATTATGGGGGATGGCAGGGTGTCCTTTATAGAGAAACTTTCATGTGCAAATGCTTAACCATGGCAACAGATGCCTTTAGCTGTTCAGGATCTTTTTAAATTGTTTTAGCCTTTGCAAGGCAACAAGTGGGGAATTGTTATTGTTTTATGTAGGTAGGGGTTTTTTTCTTCCAGAGGATAAATCATAAGACATTCAGTCTTCATGAAACTTTTAATGTACTTGGGTATCTATTTTCATCAGGAGATGGTGAAAGCGTTTGCTTTTCAGGTATTGCATTTCCAAGGCAGCAAGTTGGACACACGTTGAAATGAAACATGGGCTCTTTTCAAAAGCATTACTTTAACATGTTTAAATGTTACATTACATTACTTTAACATGTTTAAGTCTTGAACAGTTCAATATTCCTCAAGTCATTATTTTCAGGATTTTACAACCAAAATAGTTTTATATGTGTGTTGCAACAATCAGGCATGTGGGGATAGGCTTTGGAGCACAGCTAATACTTTGATAAATATATGTTTTCATGAAACTTTGTAACAACTGCCTATACATCTGATCTATCTGGGAGTCATTTATACATGACATGTCTTTAAGAAGAGATATAAGTATTTTAAGGGAATTAAATGTAATTCAGTGCAACTTTATTGATAATATCTACCTCAGGAGGGCTATGTTTTTGGAGCTTAGCTCATTATTTATGAGCAAATGTTTCTTTGACCAAGTTTGAGAGGTGTACTGGAAAAAGACAATGACATGTTTTATTATACTGTAGTTTCATTCAAGATAGTAGGAATGTTAAACATGTCATTGTCAGATGTAAAAGACAATTCAGATGTGTTTGACAGTGTTTTAAGGATCTATACCCAAATTATGCTATAATAGTACATTTATGAAGTTATCCATAAAATATGTCTGTTACCTTCTAAGAAATGCGACCAGTGAAGGTCCAGGTTAGGATATTGATCTTCAGTAACCCATGCTTGTCGTAAGAGGTGACTAACGGGTTCGGGTGGTCAGACTCACTGACTTGATTTACAGGTCATCGGTTCCCAAGTGCGCAGATCGATGCTCATGCTGCTGATCACTAGATTGTCTGGTCCACACTCGATTATTTACAGACCGCCGCCATATAGCTGGAATATTGCTGAGTGCGGCGTAAAACTAAACTCAGTCACTCACTCACACTCTAAGAAATGCTTCAAAAAACAATTAATTCAGAGATTCATAATTTCAAGAATTCCTTTCAAAATTCACATGACACACATTGCGGAGAAAAACCTGAAGACCCTGAATATCGATATCTACTGTAACTAAACTTAGATGATTATCTCATATCATTGAATAATAACAATTGAAAACATTGTCAGACAACAAAATGTACGAATACGTAATGCCATTTAGAAAGTGGTCAAATGTAAAACATGTTATATTTGGGATTACACATTCTCACTTAAGTACAGATTCTATTTCTAGTGCTTTTTGGGGGGTTGAGTCCCATCCAATTCCCACCATGCGGTGGCTAAATTGGTGAGGCGGCTGACTTTTTGTGCTGGTGATTAGGTGCCTACTCTGGGTATGTGGGTTCGAATCTGGGATGGGACTCAACCCCCCAAAAGTACTAATACTAGAATCTGTACTTTACTGAGAAAGTGTAATCCCAAATATAACATGTCTTACAACAATGTGTACATAACATTTAGATATGATGATGAATATTTCCTTGCAGCCAAGCCATGTATGATGAAAACAGGAGCAGTTTAGAAGCAGCAGCAGAGGCTGCAGCCAAAGTTAACGCTATGTTGATTGCCAAGGGAAAACTGAGGCCTTCTCAGGTCAACCAGAATCAGTCAAACAGAAAGGTAAGTCAACATAGTCAACAACCAAAGAAAAGTTCTCTGGCTTCTCCCATTGGGCCAACATTTAACATGACCTCACTAAGAACTTGGATATCGAATTGTCTTAGAAAAGTAAGATGATTTTTCTCAGAAATGTTACACCAACGGTAAAACCAAATTCACATTACATTTACAGTTAAAACAAGGAGGTTTTGTCAGTTGTCAGTTTAACAGTGAAATATAGTTTTTTAAAAAGTGAATTCTCAAATTACTGTAAAAACTCCCTTCCAAGAGGATGTTTACCAGTAACAGTTACAGTTTTTGCCCCTGTTTTATCTTAACATTTTTGCTATGAACAGAACAATTTCACTGTTGTTATGCTAAGATGATGCTTGATAATTCGTATTTTTAAGTTAAGTATAATAATAGAAAAGTTTTGTATCTTATGTAAGAATTTCTGTTTTCAGAGTAGTTCTTCAAACTTGGTAATTGCTGAGGTTGACATTAATGATGTACCAATTGGATGCAGGAATATGCTTACAAGAGGATCAACGCAAGAGGAGGTAATAGTCATAGTGAAATACTGTCATAACCTACTGTCTTGACTTTAAAGTCATGAAAAAAATCTTCATAATGGTTTCATTTCTAGCATAAGCATATTAAAGTGTGTTAAGGAATTGCTTTTGTGTTGACAGATATCCAAGATGAGTGGATCCGCTGTCTCTACAAGGGGTCGATACATGACCATGGACGAACGCGTTAGAAACCCAGGGTATGCCATGACTATGCTTTTGAGAATTGCTTATCTTTCTGTGACACTTATAACTTGATCATTCATGAGCCAGAGGTGACATTTACAGTATTTGTGTCTATCCCAGTTTTATGGAAGTACAACTATAGCATGCAAGAACCATTTTGTTGTTTGGGCATTGACACTTTCTTTTCATCCCCCGGCATGTCTGTCTGTCCATCCATACTCATTTTGTTTCTGGAGCATAACTAAAAAAAAAGTTCGATATTTTTCAACAAAAATTGGTATATATATCAAACAGAACCTAAAGTGGTGCCTTTTGCTATGTACAGATTTTTGTCATTTAAATTTTTGGGGGATATGCATGTAGTCAACGCCTTGTCCATTCGTAATCATTTTGTTTCCGGAGGTTAACTTGAAAACCGTTCAGTAATTTTCAGCAAAACTTGTTAGATTTATTAAACTGAACCTAAAGTGGTGCCTTTTGCTATTTACATATGTTTCCATGGAAACCAAGAAAAATTAAAATGACAAAAATCCGCAAATAGCAGAAGGCACCACTTTAGCTTCTGTTTGATATATCTACTAAGTCTTGTAGAAAGATATTGAACGAAGCACACCCCACCCTTTTGAGACTAAGTCCAAAACATTTCCATGGATACCAAGAAAAATAAAAATGACAAAAAATCTGTAAATAGACGGAAACTAGGACTTAGTCTCAAAAGGGAGGGGTGGGCTTCGTTTCCGGATCACAACTTGAAAACCATTCAATATCTTTTAACAGAACTTGGCAGATATATGAGACAGATCCTGAAGTGGTGCCTTTTGCTTTTTACAGATTTTTGTCATTTATATTTTCCATGATTTCCATGGAAACGATTCAGACTTAGTCTAAAAAGAAAGAATCAAGCTGGACTTTAAGTAACTGTCAGATGATTTGTTCTTTAAATATAGAATAAACAAATGATAACAGTTTGATGACGGTTTACGTTCGGATTAAATATCTTCTCTGAATTATTTTAATTACATCTGTCCTTAACGTAAACCATATTGGGCAATATGAGCGTTGCATTTCTACTATCAGCGTAAGTTTAGATCAGTACATCCAGAGGAAGTTGAGTAGTCAGCGACATTCCACGATTGCATTGTGGGAATGTAAACATTGCGAACGTTACCGTCGCTGAAAACTTGTGAGTCGAATTGACACATTTTAACCGTCGTAAAACATAAGCGTAATGTTTCCACCAGTGATGTTAGCTGCGTGAAGCAACTGCAAACCAAGAAACGGGATGCAACAGAGTAGTTTACTGTTGGAGGCCGTACGAGGCGATGACAACTGACATGCATCGTGACGTCACTTACATTGTGACGTAATGTAAAATAATTCGATTACGAGGGGGCACACTAGAATGGCGCAGTTATGGGATAACGTCATTCAATTGTTACGTCATCAAAAAACTGTACCTTTATTGTCTCATAATGTTTGTTTTTTTCGATTGTTCTAACAGCTAGGCATCTTAGAATGAACACTGATATCACTTTTACATGAAATCGCTAATGATAATTCGGAAACGTTGCCGATGAATCTAGAATCGGTTGGGATGTTTTCGAAAATACACTTACACGAACGCCGTAGAGCGCTTTCCGCCATATTGGATAGTGTTTACAAAATCAAGTTTCGCGAAGGCCGGTATTGAGACGCCTATTACATCACGTATATTTCATATTCAGCTTCGGAAAATTCCCCATACATTTTAGAATCAAATTGCAACTGGTCTTTGTCACCAATACCAACTGTCCAGATAAAATGAGATCGAAACATATTAGTGTGAAAACGAACGCTGTGCTCGAAAGACTGCGCTGGTTGAAATGTAAACAAAGACAAATTCGAATTTACACTCGCGTAGCATTTTTCTGAAATTTTCCAACATTCATCCGTCTATTCATTGCTTGCAATGGCTCAATACCTTTGGAATATGCATGGAAAGAGTATCGTAGTAAGAAGTAGGAAATTATAAATAGATACAATGCAATGATTTGATAATTCATAAGAAATTGTCAAAGTTTCCGCAGCGTGACGCCATGACTGACGCAAAATCATGCAGAACGACAACTGTAATTATCAGCATTTCTGGCTTCTTCTCTTACTTACAGTGAAAGCGATAGAAACATATAACAATACACAGATAGTCAGAATCATTCTGATTACTTACATGTCATATTTATGTACAAACGATCCCTGAATCAATGGAAGGGTCTCGCGAAAATCCTGTGTATCCTTGTCAGCAAAACCGCCATTTTGTAAGAAATAGGTCATCGGTAGTGATGTCACACGTCAACATTGTTGTACATATTAGGCAATTTCTTTGAGGTGAAGGTCGGTTGAACAAGAGTAAACACAATCGCCCAATCCTTCCCGATTACACTGTCAGTATTATGGTGTATATTTTGCGGATAGTTCAGATACTTTTTCATGAAACTGACCTCAGTATCTACATTTAGCCTTGTCCATTATCATATCATATCGTGCATATAGGGTTTACGGTGTTTTATTCTTTGAAAGTTTTGATTGTTTGAATAATATTTACATAAGAAATTGACACAGTATGTGCAGTGCACCATATTCTTAACCTTTACACAAGTGTTAGAAGATCAAGCGTTAGCCATAACTGCAATTACTTTAGTTCCTATGATGTACAATATTCAATGCATTTGAACTAATATTGTAGTTTCACATGAACAGGTTAATGAGCGGCGATTTGAAACCTTATAATTAAAACTGATAATATTTAATGAAAATGATTTATGTATGTTATGAAATGTATATGCACACTCATTTAAAGGAATTGTCTTGTTCATTGCACATTTTGTGTCGCTTTTATAGAGAAAACAACGATGTATATTGATTGGCCAGGTGCTGCGATTTTGTCGGAAGCGTTTTATGATTCACTATCATTGTTTTCGATAATATAATCAATTCACATTCGATTTAAAAAATATTATGATGACAGGATATCAAACTCTAACTATAATTATCACGAAAATTGTTTAAAAATATATAAACCATGTCATGTCTTAATTTGGACAAATCTTACATCCATATTCTAATATATAGTACGCATTACTAGTTCCATATATAAAAAGCTATCTTTTGCATCTTCCATTGCATACTTATGAAGAGAAATAGCTACATAATCATAAATAAAGAAAATTCTTATCCTAAACAAAATATTCCGGTGTTTATTGTTATTTTTCATTTACGTTAAATTGATGCCAAACAGGTGCGTGTGTTGCTCATGATAAGATACACAGTCAAACTGTCTAATTGTTGATATATTCAGGAGACTATTTAAATGGAAAAAACAGTCATTTTATGTTTTGTCTAAAGAGTGTTAATTCTGACAAAGAAGCCGAGACCTTTCACACAATTAATGGAAATTAGGTGAGATATATGCTAATCAGCATACCAATGTCGTCCTTTTCCGACGTCGCAAAATGCATAAAACAAGCAATGACGTCAACTAAAATGTTGTATTATTTTCAGCAATTTCATTACATTTGAAGATATGGCTAGTATTCTGGTAATAACGATGCAAAATTAGTCAAAATACAGCTACACAAACAGGAGAATATAGGAATCTAAGAACTAACTTATATATCGGAAAGGGGCATCCAAATCGCTATTACGTGATGTCACATGTAGTACGTTGTCATCTTTTCTTATAAATTGTGAAACTACCAGAGCGTATCCGCTCACATTGGGAAACTTTGAATTGGAATAGTTTGGTTCACCGCAAACAAAATATAACGAAAATAGAACGTCCATATCCACAACAAATACTTTCCATGTGATCTGGGTTACATTGACCTAGTGTTACGCATAGCGGAGTTATGCCCCTTATCATTATCGTGTATGACCTCTCTGTCGCCGTTTGGCGTCAGAGAAGAAAATCCATTTTTCACATTTATTGCGCGAGTCATTTTTAATGTTGGCGTATAATGTTACGCATAAGCACATAAATCCAATTCATATACACTTATGTTGTTCAGATATCAGACTGTATTTTCTTCGCTCACACTTTCGAAAAAGATGCCAAAATAAAAAATTAAGTAGCACAGTGCTTTTATCGGTGCGCGATAAAAAGAAGAAATTTACTGTTTTTAACATATAACAAAAATGCTGACAACATTTAGCAAGGTCTGTTTCTCATACCGCAGAGGGAGTTGCACTTATATTTATACCAACGGATAGGAAATTTAGTATTCTACATACCTGTGTAATTTTATAGCCCGTCATTAGATCAGGACCCGCGTGGCGCAATTCGCGCATCGTTCACTTTTCAAAGTGTATGAAAATGTACGCCTGAAAAAAAACTCGGCAGCCAGGGGGTTAAATATGTGGGGGCGGGTGGGATATGTCATCTTCTGATGACCCTTGTTCATGTTTGATACCTTACCACCACAAACATTATAACACGGTCAGTGGTTGGTTAGGAGTATTTGATGTTTAGACACTAGATATGCTTCTTTCAGTTGCAGGGAAAGAGCGTTGTATCTTTGTGTGCAGGGACCAAACCAAGAAGCTGTTGATTGTAAGTCAAATCATAACACTTTGATTGTATCATAAAGAAAAGCATCAAAAAGGAAATGTAATAATAAACTCTTTCGACCAGGTTAATTGAAAAATCTGGCTGGTACTAAGGGTGTTCTGCAACAAAACCAACTTCATTCTTTATAGGAATATTTGCATCTTTCTTGACACCCAAAACAGCTTCTCATACTTTGTCAAGCATATATTTTTGAAAATGACATGTCAAGTGTATATTTGAATAGACTGGCATATCTGATTATCCCAATCAAAAGTTGAATAGTATATTTCATATCGTTATATTTTGCCAATGTTGCAGAACAGAAATCAGCATCTTCCGCCACTCTAAATGTTTGTTTCAACCAGTGGTGCGTGTGTATATTCCAGTGTTATATTATTCATGTATCCCTACATTATTCCTCCCTACAGTGGCTGTAAAGAGAATAAATGAAATTATCCAGAATGGAATGAAGCAAAGAGGGTCTCGATTCTCACCAGCTGTGCGACCCCCAATGAATTTGCCAGGACCCCGTCAAGGGGTACCAATGCATCAGCCACCCCCTCTTATGTCTATTGGACCTCAGCCACCGGGACCCCAGGTACACTACTTCATATTGTGGCTGCTGTTGTACTTGACCAATGAAGATCTAGGTTAGAATTGAGCTCCGGCAACCCATGCTTGGCATAAGAGGCAACTAACAGGATTGGGTGTTCAGGCTCACTGACTTCGTTGACACACGTCATCATATCCCAGTGGTGCAGATTGATGCTCATGATGCTGATCACTGGATTGCCTGGTCCAGACTCTTTTACAGACTTCTGACATATAGCTTGGATACTGCTGAGTGCGGAATTAAACAACACATAAATGCTGTAGTAGTATACACAATGGGGGTACGGGACCAGGTCCTCCCAAGGGCTCAATTAAAAATTGAGCCCTTGAGGAGTCCCGTAATCCGTAACCCCATTGTGTATACTACTACTGAGGTGCATGCAAAATTTGATGACAATCGGTCGAATAGTTTCTGAAATATTGACTTTTAAGTGAGCATGGGGTCGGTCGGAAAAGGCAAAATGTCCAACTCTTTGTCGTAATTAAGTCTTAATTAATCTAATGAAGTCATCGAGAGTGTTCCCAATGCCGTTTTGCTATAGCGTAACCATCTGCCGCGATGCATGCAAAATTTCACGAACATCGGTTAAATAGTTTAGGAAATAATCACTTTTTAGTGAGCATGGGGTCGGTCTGGCGAAAGGCTAACAATCCAACGTATTGTCGTACTTGCTATATATTATCGAGGCGAGAGGTGTTTTTAGCTGAATGAAACGCAGGTCTCGGAAGTCATCACCTCGCTACCGTCTCAGGGGTTGCTTGAGCGAGCACCGTGGACGAGTATAAGTGTGTGTGTCTCTCGGCTCAGCTATGATGATGATGCACGGCCGGCTGACTAGCGAAGCTACAGATGTATGAAAGTGAATGAAACGCATCTCTCGGCAGTTTCCTCTCCGGGTTGTCGTCACCGAGCGAGCGCTGTGGGCGAGTCGCAGTGTGTGGCTCGGCTTGGCTTGTACAGCCGACTGGCTGGCTGGCAACGTTATGTTGATTTCCAATAAATCATACCGCATCTCTCAGCAGTTCCCCGGGTCGACTCGCTGCCGTCTCGGTAGCATTGAGCCAGCGCTGTGGGCGAGTCGCAGTGTGTATGTCTCGGCTCGGCTATTTACCTACAGCTCGCTGAGATGGCTGGCTATGTTATGTTGATGTCTGCGAAACAGTTGATTGTGAATCTCCTATGATTTGTTTGGTTGTCGTAATGAATGCTTGTCGGGCCTGTTGCTTCCCTTGTTCTATGAATTTTTTTTTTCGTTTTCGCAAATGACAGCGTTTTTACGGGACTTGGCCCGAATCTCTTGTTTCATTCTGTGATATTTTGTGATTTCTGATAGCACCAAACGAAACTCTTCTTCGGAGATTTTAGAGTCGGTGAGCGCGGTGGAAATATGATTGTCTATCGTGTTTAACTTTGCTTCGGCTAGAATTATAATTTGGTAGTGTTTCAATGGTTTACGTTGCAGTCTGCGAGATATGAACTTAAGGCTGTTATTTTGATGCCTAGCACCATGGGTGCGGCCACGATGGTGGATAATCAAACATTGACTGAGGACCAATTAAATACTATTTTATAAAAAAAGAGTATATATAAAGAATGGGACTGTACCTAGTCGTGGATGAAGTAGCAAAAACACTGGAAACCGTAGACGGGTTTCGTTTGCGACAGATATGCGAGATCAAACAACAACTAGAACGTGATACGCGGTCGGCATTACAGAAAAATCACAGGGCCGTCAATTCTGTGGCCATTGTTGACAGCGCTCTGGTTCCAGTCAGCATGGGATTAGGCGTAGCAGGTATCGGGTTATTAATATACTTTAAGCTGATGAGGTTCAATAAAATCCTTTTGAAATATAATATCTAGGTTTGCGGTGGGTTTTTTTCCTGGTTGTATACAAAGACGACAACGTTTTTGTTGATGGCGATCTGGTAGCTGATGTAAGCTGTTTGATCTGGTAATGGTTTTACGCTCGTCGACATTCTTCTTCCAGGATTAAACCTCCCAAGCAGTATCCCGTTATTTTTTAGTGAGACACCACCATCATTATTATCCATGATAAGATAGGGGTAGGTCAGGACCAGGTTAATAATCCAGTTTAACTGAGATTCAATGATGACTTCTCGTCCTTTGTACTCGTTGTCTTGTAAGCGCATGGCATACAAGGTGTTTTCCTCGCCGGGCAGATCGAATCCCATCGTGTCCCCGAGATCGGCTAGTGTTACGTTGGGATGATGATGGTTCATCTCGTATATTAATATGTTACGAAATAGTTTTTAATTGGTTATCGGATAATTCCTCGGACGTGCACTTTAAACCCATGAGATGTATGTTGTCGAGTAGGACAATTTTAGTGAGCGACATCGTGTCTTCCACGGTCACAAGAGACCCGTCGAAGCCATCAAAATGAAATCTGTCAAATCGTTGTCGGCAGCGGCACATCGTTATAAAACAGAGAAAACATTACCGGACCGGGTCAGCGTTAGGTACTTGTACCAGCCGGGAGAATACGAGGGAGACAGCAGAAAACGCGCCACAGATCCGATATGGTCCATGAAAACGTACAACGTAGACCTTGTCGACAACAAAGTAGGCGAGGCGAACTTGTACTATTTGAAAGACGGACCGCCGAGAGCATTCGTCAGAGAGGAGTTGATGATCGTACCTCACGACACAGTCCGTTACACATCACCCACCGTGTGATGATAGTTTCTCGTCATGATTTTATATCACTCTTGCATGCCTATTTTTCTGCTTAATGTAGCCAGCCAGCCACCCGTACACCAAGCCGAGAGAGACACATGCACACACACTGCGACTCGTCCACCCACAGCGCTCGGAAGAGCAACCACCCCCGAGGCGACCCGAGCCTTTTTCCTGACCGACCCCCATGCTCACTTAAAAGTCAATATATCAGAAACTATTTGACCGATTTTCATCAAATTTTGCATGCACCTCAGTAGTAGTATACACAATGGGGGTACGGGATTAGGGACTCCTCAAGGGAGGACCTGCCCCCGTACCCCCATTGTGTATACCACTGCCGTTGTACTTATCATTACTTAGAACAACATACATAATTTCAAAAATATACATATCAAAACAATGTCATTTAATCCATGTGGAGATTAAAACAATGTTTATAAAAATTTGACTGGTCTAGACTTCCAACAAAATGATGACAACTTCGCTAGGTTCGTTGTGGAGTAAGTTACAACATGTTGTGTTACTGTCAGGTGACTGTGATCCAGGAGAAGCTGTATATTGGTCTGGAACATGCTCCCCCATCTTTTGATGTGAAGAACAAGATCCTGGGAGTTGGGGTGAGTACACCCTGTGTTTCTGATCAGGGCTCATGTCATACAGCGACGGTTGCTGTATGATCGTTGTAGTTAAACACTCACATACATTTGTAAAGGAAGGACTGCTTATAAAGTGGTGCTCTAGTTGGGGCTATTTTCACTGTTGGGATTGTATTGCAATAGTTTCCCACATTATCATGACAGTATTTTGTGATTATTATGTTAATATCTGTAAAAGAAATGGACGTTAAGTGTTGAAAACAATATCAGAGTTAACCATTTCCCTCCCGTCTCCTACACAAAAAAAGGGAAGTTACTCCTCTCAGATTGTCGTAATCCTTGGTAACCAACACCAAGCAAGTTTGAAATTCAGTGGCAAAAACTGAGTTGTCTGTTGCATGATTTTTGTTGTATTTTCAACTAAATGAATGTTGAAACTGTTGATCAGTATTCTTACTATTGACAATACTATGTTTTACCTTTAAATTCCCATCAGTATAGCACAATCATTGGGAAACAATTGCAGTATATCAATAATTCAGTATAGCGTGACATTCCTATACCTTATGATGGGCATGACAGTGAATGATGCAGTTCTGAATAAATGGGAAATAAACTGTGAGCAACTGAAGATATTTTTGCCACATTTAAGGTATCAAACATGAGGAATGTTCACATTCCAGCATTGTTTTACATGTATAAACTGAGTCAGATCAGCTTTGAAAGGTCATAGCAACGAAAGACAAATTGCTTTTCTCAGGGCTCCTTCTTACAACACATCATGAATGAGACTGGAGCGAAGGTAACACTGAGAGGGAAGGGATCGTGTTTTCTGGACCCGGCAAGAGAGAGAGAAGTCTTTGAACCAATGCATGTACACATACAGTAAGTTGCTGCAGATGTTTGATATTGAAGTAGCTTAATGTATGTTTAATTCCATAGGCAATCAGTTGATAATAGGCCCCCAGCAACCTAACTGTTATGATTTGGGACTGGCTCGTAGAAAGTATGTAGGGGACAACCATTGCCCAAAACCACACTTACATAGTTACATTGTGGTTGCCAGACTGGGATTTATCTGGACATTTTCAAAGGCCAATATTTTCCCCCAGATCTGCAGCAAATGTCACTATGCATTGTAAATGGGATTCTTTTTTATATATTCCTCCTTGGGGTACTTATAAGCATTTAAATGTCCAATTAAAATCCCTACGACAGTTGTAACAATATTTGAATAAAATATTTACAAAACAAAAAACTACATTTTTGTCTTGTGAGACCACCCCTACAGGGCCTCACGGACCCCTACAGCCAAGAGCAGGTAACTCTAGACTATAACGTCGTACCTCACTTTCCATGCTGTCGTTTGATCGACCAGACATGTCCCTTCTCAAGAGATCTGAGTTTGAATTCCTTTCACAATGAGTGCTTCGGAAACAGCTACTGAATGTATGGTTCTCTTTCTTCCATGCATGGGCGATATAGAGATTGTTTCTGAATATTTTCATTCATCTTTTGTTGTAACTTTGTGCCCGTCCAAGTCGGCTTGCCATGTGCTTGTCAAGATGGCGGATGGGTGCCTTCGCTATGCTCATTTTTTCATTGTCTTCCATTAGGGTCTTCAATGTTTAATGTGGTTATAGTGTATTTATGTATACGTTTGTGATCTTTTACGCATTCGTTTAGCAGGTTAGGGTGTTTTTCGTTATATTAGCATTAGTTGTTTATCGCCCATGCGTGTTTTTTGTCTTGTATATATGGGGCACGCTGAAGGACGTTTTTTCACTTTTGCAGTTTAAAACCTGCACTACGTGTCATTAGTCCATTCTCGTCAAAGATACTCATGATGATGATGATGATGCTTGCCTACGATGTTTGACGTAGGGTAACCATGAAGAACAAGGTTGCCCCGCTTGTGCCTGTTTCACGCCTAAAACGATTAAGTCTCGGCGGGCGGATACACTGTTTTACAGCAATATGATCAGGCCCCGATTTCTCGAAACAAACTTAAGTTTTTACTCAAATTTCAAACTGAGTTTAAAAATTTGAAACAGCTGAATTTTTAACTCAAGTGCATTTTTAAATAAAAAAAGACCAAGTAATCTATCCACCAAACTCAAATTGTCTACTAAGTTTGAGTTTAATATTGATTTCAGTTTATTCTGGGAAATGCATTTTCCTGGCTTTTCTTAAATTTGAGTCAAAACTCAGACTTAAGTTTGTTTCGAGAAATCGGGGCCTGGGCGGGGGGTGATATCTGGGCTCAGGATCCCCCGTCCAAGTGTTCACATAAAAAGAAGGTGCCTTCTGGGCCTCCTCCTCCTCGTCGTCTAAAAAAGCCAAAAGTCGTCTCCTGCCCCTGTCTCTGCCTCCCCTACTCCTCCCGTTAGTCCAGCGCCTGTGGTAACATTTGATGCATTATCAAGTTTGTTTCAGGAGTAGATGTCGTCCGTGAAATCTTTGACACGGCGCTGTCTGGGTTCCGTAAGGAGCTCAGCACGCCTGTCATCAGGGACGGATCGGTCACATCTGTGTGTGTGTGTGTGTGTGTGTGTCTGTGTGTGTGTGTGTGTGTTTGTTTGTGTGTGGTGTGTGTGTGTGTGTGTGTGTGTGTGTGTGTGTGTGTGTGTTTGTGGATGCGGCCCGAGTTCAGGCTCGGGGATCGCTCCTCCCTCCTGGGGCATTGCAAGTAGTGCGGGAGGCCTCCACGGCGGTGTCAACCTTCAAGGATTCTAAACCCTTGTTGGAACACCCCTCGATATTCTCGTGAAACTGGGCTGGATTATCAACCTCAAGAAATCAGAACTCGTTCCAACGCAGGATCTGGTGGGGGGTCCTGGGCGACCACTCAGTCTCAGGCCTATGGTCGGAGCAGGAAGTCAGCCTGCACATCAATGTGTTAAGAGTTGAGAGCAGTCCGCTGGGTGTTCGAGAGCTTTCTGGAGTTTGTTCGTGTCTGCGTGGTTCGCCTAGAAATGGACAACCAGACGGCTATGACTTACATCATAAAGCAAGGCGGCATGGTGTCTCCGTCAGTCCTTCAGGAGACATGGCAGTTTCTACTGTGGTGCGACCAGTTCAACATTCAGGTTTTGCCTGTTTATCTCACGGGGGTAGACAACGTTCGTGCAGATGCTCTGTCACCGCGTGCGTATACTAGCCTCACACGAGTGGATGCTCGATCGGGGGATATTCGGGATTATCTCGCAGTTGTTCAGGTCGTTCCAGGTGGATCTGTTTGCCTCTGGGGTGACGAATCAGGTACCAGTGTTTTGTTCTCGGATTCCGGATCTGAGAGCGATAACCAACGACGCCTTTCAGCTCGATTGGACGGACAGGATACTGTGGGTGTTCCCACCGATACCACTAGGGCTGGGACAATTCACCGATGCATCGATGAATCGCGATACATTTAAGTTTGATACAGATATCGTATCGTCGACTGGTGTATCGATACAAAACGATACACAACTATTTTTTCAAAACATTATTATCTTAAACATGTTACAGTACTTATTTAGAGAAAAATACCCAAGTATGATGGAGTTACTTGTTTATTACAAAGTGTTGTTGTTAAACACAAATACCTTGAAATAAATCATTGTAAATCTTGATACCGTGTCATTCTTTCTGAGTGTATGTATCGTGATATGTATCATATTGCAGGTAAAATATCGCGATATGTATCGTATCGTGACATAGTGTATTGTCCCAGCCCCAGATACCACTGATTTCCAAGGTCCTGTCGCAGCTAGCCGCTCAACCAGCTCGACTACTTGTGCTTCTTGCACCCTTTGGTGTCTCAAAGCTGGTTTCCGGTAATCCTCAGGTTTCTGGCTCAGCCTCCTGTACTATTACCTTTTCGGACGGACCTACTATCCCAGAACGAGCGCCCCACCCGAATCCCAGGATTCAGTGGGTGGCTTGGCCGCTATCTGGAATCGCTTCCAAGAGAGAGGAATTCCTGCACCAGTTGCAGAAACAATTCTGGCTTCGCGGAGGGATTAGACAAACGTTCAGTATAAGGATAGATAGGCCTATTATGCGCGCTGGTGTGTCAGCAGGGGGATTCTCGATCCCTTTTCTGCAGATTTAGTCTCTATGTTAGAATTCCTCTAGTCTCAGTTGGAAGCCGGTCTAGCGGCCTCAACAGTTCGAGGATATTCAACGGCTATTTCGTCATTCCATATTCCTGTTGACGCTGCACTCTTGGGGCAGCACCCTCTGTTTCAGCGCTTTTTAGCAGGCGTGGACAGAATCCATCCGACTGTCCGGCGGATTAGTCCCCCATGGGACTTGTCAATCATTCTAGATTGGCTGTCCTGTCCACTGTTTCACAATCTGTTGGCTCTTTCCCTCCAGCTATTGATGTGGAAGGCAGCTTTTCTTCAGGCAGACGGGTAGGCGATATTCATGCAATGTCAGCCGACCCCGCGCTAACTGTTTTTCACAAAGATAGAGTTAGCATTCGGTTGCCTGATACTTACCGTCCTAAGAGAGGTCATATCCCACCTGAAGGTTTGAAGGCTCATTCGGTTAGGGCAGTTGCCACATCGAAGGCATACGCTGCGGCCCTGCCCATTGAGGAGATCTACTCCGCAGCTATTTGGAGCCGACCGAGTACGTTCATCCGTCACTATCAACTTGACAGACACTCCAGCGAGCGTGCTCGGTTCAGTCAGTCATTTCTCTCGAGTGGGCAGGGTTTCACCTCTATAGCTGATTGAGCTTTGAGGTTTTATGACGAGATCCAGTTATCTGCCGTTTTAACTGGTGTCGGGTATTTAAAACTATTCTACCTTTCCCCTTGGTGTTGGGTTTTATGGTGGTGGTGTTTATCCCATGTACTTTGCATTCCTCCGTACTGCACTAGACCAATTGCCTTGGAAACCTTTGCTTGTGAGGCAAATTTATTCTTGGGTTTATTGCTAGATTCCCTTACCTTCACTTTCGCTTAATTATGGGAGGGAGGGGGACTGTCTAATGCAGTTTACATTAGCGAGGTTTTGCATTATAAAGCTAGTATGTTCGACCCCTGACCCTGGCTCATGCCCCCAACCGATTGGCTGTGGTGGACACGTAACCAGGTAAGTGAGATTTTACCGCAAGTTTTAGTTTGGCAATTCCTCTTGTTGTCGGGTTTGTTCTACGAGACAGATTGCCGCTCCCTGACTCAGTCTTTAGGAATCTGTCTTATGCTTATAAGTTCCCAAGGAGGAATATATGAAAAAGAATCGAACAAACCTGTAGAGATTGCAGATTCTTTGAATATATTCCTCCTTGGGGTATGACCGCCCACCTCCCCACATTCTTTCTGATTATGTTCAGCATGGAAAGTGAGGTCCGTGGGGCCCTGTAGGGGTGGTCTCACAAGACAAAAATGTAGTTTTTTGTTTTGTAAATATTTTATTCAAGGTCACATGCAACGTAAAACACAACTTTGCAGATTCTGATACCTTTCGGTATGGATTTACGAAACAAATCATCAAAAATGCAAATTCAACTTATAAAGATGAAAAATAACGCGATGAAAAAACCCGCGCGAAATCAGAGTTCAAACGATTCACTAATTTTCCCTCAGCGCTTGGGGGAAAAGTGGTTTCAACAGCTAGGCTGCACCTCGCTGGGCTGCGCTCATAGCACATGCGCAGTGAAATAGGTTCACGCAGCTTGTAAGTGGGTTGTCCGGTGAATACCGGTGAAGGCTTTGGTGTGAGCTATTTTTCTAATGTGATACTTGTACACATGACATGTTATGGTGTCTGTTTTCATTTGATTGCATTGAATGCATCATTACTCCTGTAAGAATTTCTATTGTGTGATTAAGTACCACACCATGCACAAGCAATATTTGGTTTTAAACTGCAACAGACCTACACACTATAAGCCATCTGTAATGTATTTACACATACAATCTGTTTTCTGTTAACAGGTTTTGAAGTATCATTTATGACAGTTTTTACTGAGTGCTGTTTGTTTTTCCCCAGACACACATCAATGGTGGGACTACAGCAAGCGAAGCAGCTGGCGGAAAATCTCATTCAAACAGTAAGTACATTTTCAATGACTATGGTTTTGAATATGTCACTGGTAAGATACATCTCATCAACGTGTTTACATTTCTGAAGAGGGTTGTGATGTATTGTGGATGAATAATACTCTGATGAATTATCCAATGAAATTCTCGTGCTGAAACATAAATTCATGTATTCAGTGAAGACAAAAGCATGTTTCATATGATAATCTAAATAAAGCTTTGGGGAAGATGCCATATATCTTTGGCTCAATTATTTTGAACATATTGGCTTCATATATCATATATGTAGGAAATATTAACTTAACCTTTTCTTTACTAACTAAAGATTTTTTTCAGCTAGGGTTGGTCTTAAGGAAGTTCATGGGGACTATACGTGAGCTGATGTTGAAAATCTACACTTTTTTTGTCCTTTTGGCTGGTCATTTTTTTGCATTGAGAGAAAAAAATCACTCATGAAAACAAAACCTATTTCTGTCAGTTCACAGATATTCGAGACATCAAACATATCCACTATGTGAAAAGGGGAAAATGATATTTTCCAAAAAGAATGTGTTTGTACATGACATCATTTGTTATTGTCATATTTATTTCCTTGTTCACAGCTGTAATGAATGAAAGGATTGTGTATTTGAGTTCTTCTTTTTATTATTTTGAGATGGTTTCTCTCCATTATTGAGCTTTGGAAATGTAGAAGTTAGCTTAAGGGTAATGTCCATTTTGTCCTTGGACACTGATTAGCTAACTTTAACGCATACCTTTTTCAGTGTCTTATATGAATATCAAAATAAGTCAATTAAGCTTAGGATCAATAGAACTTGAAAGATTGTTTGAAACTAAATAGTATGGTAAGGACTGGAAAATGTATTGTTTGGAACTATGTAATTCATTGTTAGGAACAAGGTTTTTAGTTGTTAAGAACTAAATAATATGTCATTAGAGCAATATAGTGCATTAAGCGTTGAAAATGGAATTAACTTATTGCAAAATGTAGTTCGACTTAGTGTTGATTATGTATTAAACACTCAGATGCATATCCCCAGACTACAGCAGTGTGGTAGGACTATTTTAAGCTCTATTTTGTATTATTGTTTTATACCCGAACAAAAATGGTTGGGGGTATATAGTTACACCAAGGAATTCTGTCTGTCTGTCCACCTGAATACATTTTTGTTAAACCAATAACTTAAAAACTATTGGTTGAATTCTTTTCAAATTTGGGAACAGCCTTATTAGTCTATAGGGGAGGTGCAATGCACATTATGACTATGATATTTTGAGTTTTCCAAGAATTACAGTAATTTTAAGAATTTGAATTTTGAAAGTTTGTTCAACCAATAACTTGATAACTATTGGTTGGATTGTTTTCAAATTTGGGGGCCACGTTCTTAAGTCTCAAGGAGAGATGCAATGCACATTTTGACTATGATATTTTAGGTTTTCCAAGAATTACAGTAATTTAAGAATTTGAATTTAGAAATAGTGTTTTAAAATTTTGGGGACAACTCTCCATATCTAAGAATGGTGCAATGCAAAGTTATATTTTCATATATTTAATATTTTGAGAATGATCACAACTTACATCCCAGATCAAATTTGTTCAACCAATAACTTTACAATCATTAAATGGATGCTGTTCAGATTTTAGTAATGGCTTCTTTGTTTATAGCTGTTCATTATAAGTTGGGTGTCACAGTCAGGGATTTCCGTGAGCCATGCTCACACTTTTTGGCTACTTTAATTTGGATTATTTTGGCAAATGAAGAACCATGAAAGTGAGTGTGTGTGGGTATGATTGTGAGGCATGCTGAGGTATTAGTGCAGGTATGCTGAAAATGAAAAAAGGTGTTTCCAACATGTTACCATGAATCAGTTTTTGTGGCACTTACACGTAGTGATTTTAAAATACATGGACAACTTCTGTGTTACTATATATTAAGAGAAAAAATTCTTGCATTTTAACACGTTTACCTGTGCTTCCAATATTTTACAGCAGTGTTTGTAATGGAGGACTTTTTCCATAATCTGGACTTCCAACATTTTTTTATTGCTTTAAACTTTGAAAAGTTATTGATGTACCGGTATTTGAAACATTATGGTACTGACATAACCTCAAAAAACATCTTGGATCTTTCAAGTGTTTCAGTTTGATAATTGTCAACAAAAACATTCACACTTGATTCAGTTTTCGATCTTCTGTGTGGTATAGCAGGTGCTTGATAACTCCCTTCTGTGATAACAGCTGGGTGGGTGGAGTGTGTTGGCTCCTGACACCATGGAGGCCTAGTAACGCCATAATACATTCAATAAGGACCTGTGTGTAAAGCTATATACACATCATACTGTCAATCAGATCTTAATCACTTCAACATTCTACTGTAACTAGTGTCTAACTGCTGGGTATGTTTGTGTGATGTTCTTTGTAACGTTTGTGTGGTGTCCTAAGTATGTTTGTATGGGTATGTTGACCATTTTAGTTGATGACTTCTGCTGTGTAGTGGTGGGATCTTGTCAGACTTACCAAATGGGAAATAAGTGTATGAAAATAGGATGATTCTTTACCACTATTGTCATAACATTGTTCTTTTACATTCCATCACAATGCTTTCCAGAGCAGATACTTGCAGGTCTGCATGCATTTATCACCAGTACTTTCAACTGCTTATGTTGCTGTACTAGATGTGATACTATAAGCACTGTTGTCATGGAAAGGAGGAGATGATGTGTTCTAAGAATTTGAAAATTTACCATGAGAAAACTAACCCACCTGCACCTCAAACTCTATTGTTTCAGCTTGGCACTGGTATTATTAGATCACATAGCAGAAGCACCGGAGTTCTGTAGAAGGGAATGGTTTCAGGTTATGCTTGACAGAGTCTCAGTTTGTTCTCTAATGTTGGTGTTTTGGGTTTACTATCTATTCCGATTATAGCAATAAAGTTGACATTTTGCATGGATGCAGGTCTTCAAAGCCTGTACACAAATGCATAAATATTTTGATTACCATTGCAATCATGATAAGGAAGGTTTCAGTAGATGTTGTAATTGTTTATAGCAGGCTCAGCATGCTGTCAATCTCACTACTGATGGCATGTTTTCACACTTATCTTTTTGTTTGAAAGGAAATAGTTTCATTTCTTTTTTTGTTATTCCTCATTGCAGGTGTCACCATTTGGGGTTAATCATCGTGTCACTCATATCTTATTTTATGAAATTGATGACAAGTTGTATTATAAAACAACAGAGGCTTGTAATCTATTCTGGTTTACTGGACTGTCTCTAGTCCATGAGGTGTATTCCGCATGGCAACTAAATAACGCTCTCTGCATCAATTTTTTGTGTCCTTCACTTAAGATGTAATGATGTCGCCAGGTTTCATGACATGAACACACAAAATACTACCAGAGAGAAACTGATTTTTAAAATATTTATTTCCTGTATGATGCTTTTGATTGTCAACATCCAGAAATAAGTCCTTGTAATGGATTGGGGCCCCACTGGCCATGTCTTCGGCCTCCCAGTCTACTGTGCAGAGTTGTATCCTTTGGTCAGAAAGCTACAACCTGGGTTCAAATCTCAGTTCAACCTTATGTTTCTTTTTGTCAGCTGGGCGGTGGGGTAGCCTTGTGGTTAAAGCGTTTGCTTGTCATGCCGAAGACCCGGGTTCGATTTCCCACATGGGTACAATGTGTGAAGGCCATTTCTGTTGTCCGCCATGATATTGCTGGAATATTGCAAAAAAGCGGCGTAAAACTAAACTCAATCACTCACTGTTGTCAGCATGATACTTGTGCTCATGGGGTGTAAACATCTAAGACGTGTATTACTTTGGGCTTCCCTTCAACATCCAGCTGACTCGCTGGGATGTTACTGGAATGTTGCAGCATTGAATTCAGCCTTACTCACTCTTAATAAATGTTTGCTTTGGTGAGCGAAATTGGTACATCTTGATTACAGGGATACCAGAGTTGACGCACAGAAGAGAATTGTGTCATTGTGTTCGAAGAAACATTAAATGACAAATCGTTGTTAAGGGTGTGTAGAAGATGTTGCAAAATACATGCATATGAAATAGTTAACAACACAGGGTGCATGACTTAGGTTTCGGATCCCACCACTAGTAGAAGTGTATGTCTGTGTGTGTTCAGAGCGTGAGTACCCTTATACAGCTGTGAACACGTCTAGTCAGCAAGAGACAATTTTCATCTCCCAGACTATTTTAGATGACTCCTGTGTTCTTCCTCAGAGTATATAGAGCAGAAATATCAATCTGGAAATGAAAATTTATGTTATACTGCATGTTTTTCAGCTTGGGTTTTATTATAAACACTTGATTAATCAAAACCATTCGTGTTCAAGATTTAAAGGGAGGCAACTCCCGATTTTCCGCAGATCAAGATCTTGCAAGGCAAATGTTTACTGCAGATGTCAAAACTTTTGGTTGGATTATTAAAGAAAATAAACTTGCTGGCTAGATTTGTAAGTGATTTTTCTGGAAAGTTGTACATCTGTGAACAGAAGGTATTGATGTATGGGACCTGTCGTCCCAGGTCGGCTAACCATGATGGTACATGTTTATTCTAGGTGCAGCAGGAGTATGCCTCTTTTCAACAAGCTCTAGCTGCGATGCCCACCCAAGTTAATCCAGGAACAGCCGCCTTGTTTGCTGGCATTCAGCAGAGTAAGTCTGCAGTAACTTAAACCTACGCTTCTGATGCATTATTTTATCAGGAGCCTACTGCAGTGCTAGAAGTGGTCAAGGTGGAGACGGTTCTAAGATGTTCCCAGTGCTGGTATTTTTGTAGTGTTTTGTTGATTTCCAAAGTTGTTGTGAAGTTATTATGGACTTCAGATGTTTTCAGAAATTACATTTGGACTTATAATGGAGTGGTCATTTGTCATATGTCTAGTTGACAAATATTAGTTAATAATGGCAAAATTACTCTTGAGATACAACTCAAATGAAATGACGGCCTGAACATACATTTCATGAAACATCCAAAGTCCTTTTAGTATATTTTAGACAATGAGGCTGGTGGCGGATGACCATTTTTCATGATTCTTCTGGAGATAAGGATATCCGGACATCATTCTTTAATGATTTGATTTCCATTTCTTTTGTCATGCTTGTAGGTGGGGATGTTGGAGGATATGCTGTGATTTTTATTTTAATTCTATGGAATTGCTGTAGAGAGCTCTGCTGATAAAACTGACTTATTTCTTACTATGGCTGTTTCAAATTGGACGATAATTTGATGTTATGACAATTGATATTCTTTTGTTAAGGATTGTTTTCAGACATGTTTTCATCAATGCTCAGTTTAGTTTTGAAAGGTTTGACACATTTAAATTCATGTAGATTGAGAATTCAAGAGTTAATCTTTCTGTATTCTTCTGTAGCTGAGGACCTGCAAAAGCTGCATGGACAGCAGTATTAGTATTTATATGCATGTCTGTGATGATAGGGATGGAGAGAATCTTGTCAGTGTGGAACAGGCAAGGCTGATTTAATCCACTTATTGATGGAGGTAAAGAAGGTGGTTTAGCGGAAGGTATGCTCTACTACTGATACAATCCTCCAAGAGAAAAAAGACTGGTGCTGCAGATGTTTAGAGGCAAGCAACTCTTGAACACTACACACCAGTCGACAGTTGTCAACTATTCCAGCTTATGAGGATGGTACACTTTGATGTACCTTTGTCTTTTTTTCAGATGCAGAGAAAAGAAGTTTGTACTCAAATATCTTGTGTTGGTTCTGTCAGCTGCTCAAACCATTTATTATTGGGTGTGATAATGAGAGATATGATTCTTGTTCAAATTACAGATGATGAATTAATAATTTATTTTTTTTCTTCACATTTCAGATGACAACTTAACTACATGAGGTAACCCCTGTTAAAAGGGTGTATTTGAGCTTGCGATTCTCTGGAAGAATAAGGTCTTGCATTAGAAAAGAATGAAAGGAATCATTTTTGTGTTTGTAAACAAAATACATATGCGCTATGTTGTTTTTCAGAGTTTAACCGTTGTTTTATACTTTTCAATTTACTTTTCAGATTCATAAGGAATGGCTTCTGTAATAAGTTTTCTTCTTTCTTATTTAAATATATATATATTATTTTATTTTCAGAAAGAATTATGCAGAAAGCTTGTTCATGGATGCAGTTTTTCCAGAAACCTAAGTGTTGTTACTGTGAAACATTAAGCATACTAAAATTTGTAGTTGCTTTGAGCTATTGTGAAATAGGGTATGAACAGTCAGGATCTCGTGCCACAAACCGATCCTGGTGCTGTGACTGCTGAAATCTAGCTACATATAGAAGTTTAGACAGCTATAGTGCTGAGATTGCTTTGTGGGACGAGACTCTTGATAATCGTGGATAGATACACGTCTAAGGCAGATACTACAAATAATAAGAGGTTTATCATGTTTGTATCAAAGTTTTGAGTTATTTAGCTGTGCTTGTTGGAACTTGAAATTAGAATCTTGATACTGAATTTTATTTCACGATCACCTCCTTTTTCACACTTCCTGTTGAATATGATATCATTAGTTGAACAATACAGTAGCAGTCCAGTATTTATCTGTTTCCATAGGTTTCAAACTACATGTAACAACATATTTCAGCAAGTACAAAGCTACAACTCAACTTGTTTCCAAACATTTAAGAGACTACATTGAGAACTAGATTGGCTCATGGTTCTTCTGTATTGAAAATACTCATTTTATTTGGCTCTGAAACAAAAGTCAAAATTGATGTAAATATATTTTGCTATGATCTTATGGTTTATGGGAAAGTATGCTTGGTGTTATTTGTGCCAGGATGTGGTTTGGTGATCTGTCTCACGAGTATGTCTCCATCTTGCAGCTTCACTGCCAGGGAACACCTTGTTTACCCATCAGCCAGGCATCACCACCTTCTCTCACCTGCAACAACAGCCTCTTGCACAGGTTGCTGCACCAGGTATGTCAACAGCCTTGTCTACTTCCCCTGTTAACATTATCCATGTATCATAATATATGAAGTCTCACTGTGACCAGGAGGTGTCTGGTCCAGAATCGATTATTTATATCATATAGCTGAGTACAGTAAACAAACAAACACAAGGCAAACTGAATCATTGTTGATCGTTGCATTCCTTGGGCATGCCGGAAACCTATAATAGTGGCTTCAGTTCCCATTCACTTGTTTGTCAGCTTGTCGGTTTAACCAAACTGGTAAAGGCGTAAGACATACATCACATCAGGCTATCCCAGTGCTGCAGCCAGACTGTGTGATTGCGGGAGTCCCGCTAATTGTACTTATCTTCACTCTTTATTAATAACTGCATGTGCCAACAATGGAGCAAATTTATAATTGATAATGTGTTTTTATATATGAGGCACGTAATTAATTTCAAAATACTACTAATTTCATTGAAAGTGATGTCAAACATTTGAAAATAAAAATATTGAAACTTCCGGAATTCAAAACGAGGCTTCCTAAGCTCTGCACATTGCTAGTACGTATATTTGCATACAAAACTGTTATATGAATCACTGTAAGGAGCTTGTTTCATCACTTTGTTTGGCAATCAAAATGTCAAAGAGAAGGATTAAAGATTTTTTCACTTTTGGTTGTTGGCCCACATTTTCTAAAGGTATGGGCCTACTGGCCCTTTCAAAGGAATTCCTGGCTGCAGCACTGCTTTCCACCTGCATAGGTTGACGTGCCATGATATGACTGGAATACTGATCCATATTGTAGTTTGTATTTAACAGCTTGTGCTGTTCATTTTGTACGATGATTTGTGTTATATTTCATGATATGTATTGTATCCTGACTCACTGTATCAACTCTGCCCTACTACTTGTTACCATGAGTAGTTAGTCCACAACTTGATTATTGTTGTCCCCTGCCGCAGTGCGGAACAGGGGACTATGTATTCAGCGGCGTCCGTATGCCCGTGCGTCCGTCACATACGTCCCGATTCTTGTTAACGCGATCTCTCATGAACTGTTGTACCCAATGTCTTCAAATTTGGTGACAGCCTACATTGGGGTTTTTATGCAGACACCAGTTGATTTGGGTGACTTTGACCTTATCTTCAAGGTCACCACGGCATTTTGACCACTTTTCAAACTCTTGTTAAGGCGATATCTCATAAAATATTGTACCCAATGTCTTCAATTATGTCGACAGCCTACATTGGGTGATTATACAGACACCAGTCAGGCATCTTGTATGTGACAAAAAAATAAAAAGTAGTAAATGTGTTATAAATATTCCATTCTTTAGCGGTTGGAGACATTGCCATATCAGTGGCAAACACTCATTATATGTAATCAAAGGCAAAACAAACTGGTCAACTGGACAAACAGTACAAAACGTTTGTGGAAGGAATTTGTAGATTGCTAAGGAGAATGTAAAATATTTCTTATATCGATTTTTCATATAATCTATCATGTATCTTTAGTCCAATTATGAAATGTGATTTGTGGTAGCATCTTTACATAAACAAACCAACAAACTCTGAACGAAATGTTCATACTGTTTTCCTCAACATCATTTCTTTTATCATCTTTTGATCTTAGAGTTGTCTACTAATCTGACCTGATAAATATCAGTGCTGCACTTTCAGAGAATTTGTTGTTCCAAAACGGAATCAGAACAAATGATGCCACTATATGATCAGTTTGAAATATTCACTTGCCAAAGAAAGTGTGAGCATGCATGGTTATGTTGGCTGTAGGAGTGCAACAGATCGGACACCACCCGGGGATGATGGCTCCTCACATGATTCCCGTGTCCACCCCAACATCAGTGGTGATGTCAGGAGCGTCACTTAACTCTACCCTCACCAACCTCACACCTAGTGCTCTCATCACTCCAGCTCCAGGTAAGCTGCAAATAGTGTGGACAAATATGCAGAGGAACATTTTTACCATGATTATAGAAAACATTGATTGAAATTGATTGGTCAAAGGTTTCAATAGCATGTCTCTGATCAAAACACTATGTAGACTCTTGGAGAACTGCTTCAAATTTTATCATGTTTTCCATTTGTTTCAGTGGAGCAAAAATTATTTCCAAAATCTGAAAGTTTTAAGACGAGTTTTGGTCTGTATCATATGAAATTTTAAAGTTTTTTTATTTTAATCATCTTTTTTTACAAGAAGTATAATGTGATGAATGTAATTATTAACACACTTTTTACACTGTTCATAAATAATGTTGAAACCATTTTCATCACATTCCAACAATATAATGAATACAGTAACCTAATTTGAATATTGTTTTAAAGGGTTGACAGTGTCATCTGGAGGTCCTGCCTTAGTGTTGCCAACTTCCCTGGCTCCTGTTCCAGTTGTTACATCCATGCCTGTTTCTGCCACGCCAATTGTTGCCGCAGGTAGGGTGATTGTTATATGAATCTGTGCAGTAGAGGGTATGTTGGGGTTACCTAGAAGTTAAGGTGTTCACTTGTCATGCCGAAGACCTGCATTCCATTCCCCACATGGCTGCAACTTATAAAGCCAATTTCTGATATTGCTGGAATATTGCTAAAGGTGGTGTAAAACACAACTATTCAGTAGAGAATTTTCACCTATTTGTGTACATTCTGCAATGATGATAGCACTTCGTAGGCACAGGTCTCTGACTTGTTTCCTTTGGGCAATCCAGTGTTGACCACATTTCAAGATAGACCCGTGAAGGTCCGGGTTAGAATGTGCCTTCAGTAACCCATGCTTGTCGTAGGAGGCAACTAACAGGATCGGGTGGTCAGGCTTGCTGACTTGGTTGACACATGGCATCGGTTCCCAATTGCGCAGATCGATGCTCATGCTGTTGATCACTGGATTGTCTGGTCCAGACTCAATTATTTACAGACCGCAGCCATATAGCTGGAATATTGCTGAGTGCGGCGTAAAACTAAACTCACTCATTCACATTTCAAGATAGCACAGTACACAAAGACTAGACTGGTATTGGTGATGTTGAGATGTTCTCGACTTTACTTGCTTCCTTCCAGGTCCCCCTGCCCCAACAACAGTCAGCTCCCAGATGGAAGCTGCAGCAGCGGTGGTGAGTGCTGGGCTCCTCCCCAACACCAGTTTGCCCCCGCCCATGCTGCAGGCCCAAGCTGTGCCCACACCCAGCACATATGATGTACCCATCACTGAAAGCCAGTTCCTAGGTGAGAATGGGATGCATCACCTCTAGAACCTAAATGTTAGATGTAATGGTAATCCTGTTGGTTAATGTAGCATAGTTATATATCAAATTTATGTCCTGTTTAAATGATGCTCAAAGGTAAGTTTGTCATTTCGCCACAGTCCTGTAATTTTCTTATAGATAACTGATAATCTGGATTTTAGGCTTTTTGTGAGCACTAGTTTGAAGTTATCCATGTTACTGTTTGTATAAGTAAGACAATGGATGTTATAGTGGAACAAGGTGTTCATGTGTTTCCATGTCGTTATCCAGGAGCTGCAGCAGTCAATGGTGGTCAGCCAACACACGTGATATTAAGTCAGCCACCACAACCCGTCACAGTGCAGGTAGCTGCACCACAGCTGGCCACACCCCTTGGAGGCCCTGGACAGGTAGCTACATCTCTGGGAGGGACAGCTTTAGCACCAGGGGCAGCTCCTCTCGGCCCTGCAGGTGGCCCTTTAGGACCTGGAGTGCAGCTGATGACACAGACTGGCCTGCCCCCTCCAGGAATACCTCCACCTGCAGGACCACCCATAGGTCAGCCACAGCCTCATCAACCCTTCTACACACAGGTAATAACAATCAGATGCTACCAGCAGTTCATGTCATGTTGCCATGGTTTCTTTTGTTTCACTCTACTATCTGGTATGATCATGTTGGTGATACAAGGCACCACAATTTCATTGGCAGTTGCTTTAATTAGCTTTACCAAGATCCACAAATTGTGGATTCAAATCCAGGTGCATCAGTATAATGATGCGGCTCATTGTTTTCATCAAAGAGGTAAATGTCTACGAAATCATTACTGAAGGCTTTCATTCGACAAGTAGCATGATGTTATTTAACTTTTGGCAGCACTGGACCCAGCTTACTCTTAATTTAGTCCTATTCAAGAACTTTATCCCCAGATTCTTTAATACTGTGTTTTACTTTCTATTCTTGGTGCACACTTGACAAGTTAAACCTGTGTGTTTTTTGTGTGTAATTTGCTCAATTTTGAACATGTGTAAAGAAACCATCTTCTGACATTGCAGTATGGCCCAGTGAGTAGTGGCCAGCCATACTGTATGGTGACATCTCCCATGATGTGTAGCTCTCCAGCAGCGACATACACAGTAGCAACGTCAGGCTATTCCTACAGTGTCCCATTGAAAGAGGAACCACATAAGCGAAGGTTCACAGAAGAAAAACAGGAGGAGAAGATTCCAGAAAACTTGCTGGGCTACCAGGTACACTAGTCCATCAGTTGCAGATAGTTTGGAAGCTTGTGTTTTTTTCATCCAAAGTAATTACCTCCCTTTTTGAAAATGTTTTTTGTTTAGTTGTTTTCATGTTTGTCTCTGTGCAATTTTTTTGTCCTACAAAATGCTGTAGAGAAAAACAGGAGCTTCAGTTTTTTTACAGTTTGTTACTCATCATCAGGAACATACATAGTGTTGTGAGTTTCACTGTCTCTATTTCACTGTCTCACTGCCCTCATTCCACTTGAAGCTGATCTGCTCTGATGTCACTGAAGTTATGTTCAAAGCAGCACACGCAAACTCACTGACTGAAGTCGCTACTGTTATCATTACAGCATGGACCCCCTCACCTGACTAACCTGATGACATCGGGCCCACCCCCTCCAGCCACCATGGTGTCTGCAGCACTGCCCATAGGACAGGCCTTCCCCCCCACTTCACTGTCAGATGATGGCCGGTGAGATATTCAGCCTAATACTAGTAGTCTTATTGTTGATTTACATCAACCTCTGTACGAAGCGACTAACAGGATAGGCTTGCTGATTTGGTTGACACATGTCATGGTATCCCAAATGCCTAGATCGATGTTCATGGATTGTCTGGTCCAGACTTGATTATTTACAGAACGCCGCCATATAGCTGGAATGTTGCAGAGTGCGGCATAAAACTAAACTCACTCGCTCACTCTTTAGGTGAAATATCATGATCAGTCACAAATATACTTTAATAGTGTTGACATGAACAGAAACAATGCCTTCAGGTCTTCTAAAACTATTTGTAGCGGCAGAGGCATAGCCTAGTGGTTAAGGCATTTGCTCCTCACGCTGAAGACCAAGGTTCGATTCCCGACCTTGGCACATTGTGTGAAGCCCATTTCTGGTGTCAAGCCCATTTCATGATATTGCTGGAATATTGCTAAAAGCGGCGCAAAACCCAACTCGTCACTCAGAATATTTGTGTTTAATGTCCCGTTGCCAAGGGCAGTTTTTACATTGACTGTTGCATGCTGCAGACCATACACAAGTCAGGCCAATAATGGAGTGGTAATGGCGCCTCCCCCAACATCGGTGCATGACAGACCCGAGGCTGACAAACATCTTATGCCACCTCCTGGAGTTAAAGGTATTTGCATCCCTTACCTGTAATCTGGGCCTCCTAATTCAGACAAGCCAAAAGATTAACTCTGAAATATAAACGATGCATGATGAAACACCTGTTATGGTTCTGTTAATTCTGTTTCTATCTTCACTAAATGTTTTCATTTGACTTTTTCCTTTTTCTGAAGCAACATGTTTTAAATTTTCCAGGTGTTAAACGCAGTCATTCGGGGCAAGGAACACCAGACACAGAGAAGAAATCCAAAACTAACTTAGGTACAGTCTTCTGTTTTGTTATTCCTGCAAGTCTAAGATATGTATTCTATGTGTGTCCATTTTTGTAATGAATGTGGTTTTAGATGTGCTATGTAGTCCTTATCAATTTTCCAACTGTTATTCTTGAGATTCTGTCTTCAGGTTATGAAGAAGATGGTGATGAAAACAAACGTAGAGGCACACAACCACCACCTCCACCACCACCAGATGTTGAGAGGGAACATGCAGAATTGCTGGAACAGGAACATCGAGAACACTTGGAACGAGAGCGGGAACAGAGAGACTTCTACAATCCTCACTTTCCTGGTGGGAAGCCTCAGTCGTTCCGATCTGGTTCTCCACAAGGCCCTCCTCGACAATCTCCTCCAGCTCCTCCTCCTCCACACTTTGAGCAGATCAACCAGCAACAGATTTCCCCTTTTGAACAATATACTCAGAACCCACAGGAACAGTTTGGTCAAGCTGGGCAACCCCCTCCACCACAGTTTGAACAGTATCCTCCCCCTCCCCAGCAGTTCCACCATCAGCAACAGATTCCTACCTTCTCCGTCTCCACATCCCAGAGTATGCCTCACTTCCACCAATCACCTCCAAGTCCACAGCCACCTTATTCACAGGCACCTAACATCCGGCCCCCAGAGGCCCAGATGATTATAAGCCAGCACAGTCAAATCCAGCCCCCACCACCGCCTTCTCAGCAGAGTCAAGGACTACAGCCCCAGTTCCAGAGCAACCAACCCTTCCCTCCTATGCCACAAAATGGTTATTCGCAACAGTTTGTTAGCCAGCAGTCCCAGCCTCCTTTGCCGCCTCCCCCACCCCCACCACCACAGTCCCAGTTCCCACCCCCGGGGATGCAGTATTGGGTATGAAAAAATTGAAGAGGATGACAATTGTTTGTCTGGATCTAACTGTGTTGACCTGAAGATGTTCCAAGACAAGAGTGCCTGTGCTATGTGTGATTGTTTAACCACTACAGTATGTGAACTGTTTCAGCATTGTGCAGAATACTGTGAATGTGTACATACCTGTGTACACATAATGTCTTACAGCATTGTGTGTTGTGTGACTCTGTCATACCTTATATTGATGCTTTATAAGTATCAAGTAGTGCTTGCAGGGGATAAATAGACAATTCAATTTTAATACAAAATTTGCAACCTGATTTATTGATGAATTGGTGGCTGAGGTTTGTTTCATTTTTAGAACTGAAACTACAAGTTCTGTATGCAAATACTGATTACATGTATCAAAGTGTATATATATGATGTGATGGTTGTATGATATGATTTGACTTCCAATAAACTACTTTTTCAGCTGTATTGATTAGTATTTTATTTGACATTCTACTGATCATACTGAGAATATGTAAGTATAAAAGATCGATTTCCTCCATTTCTGTTATCCTGTCCTCTTTCATACGACTAATATGGAAGCTATCTGAGAACTTTCCCATGTTAGTTGTTCAGTCTGACTGCTTCTCAGTTGGTAGTAATCCTAGAAAAACTATTTTAATTTAAGAAATAAAAAGTTACTCACTGATGTTACTGGTCATATCAAAGTAGTTAATATTGGTGTCTTAAATTATGGGTTATGTCCCTTTATACATTTCTTTTGATTGTGCATCATGTCCTTGATTAATATGCCAGGTTTATAAGAGATACTTCTCAAGGCTGAGCTAAACAATTAGTGGCATTAAAACATTTCCTAAATTACACTTCATGTCATGTTTTTATATTGAGTGCATAGCAGCTACTTTAGGGACATTTTTCTCAGAAACTACTGAAGCTATGTGAATGAAACTTTGCATGCTTGTCTAAGAGATACAAAACAAGACTGAATTGAAAAACAAAAGTATTAAGGCTTGACTAACAAGAGTTGGAGTGAAGTACACCCCTAATAGGTACTTTTAAGGGTCTTTGCAGGCAGGAGGGTCCTGTAAAGTATGGAATTAGTGTGGTGTATTGTACATATTGATAATCACGTTCAAGCCTTTAATGAAGCATTAGTCATGTGGACAGTGGTCACTGAGGTATGACAACAACTGCTCTTGATTCGGTGTGGGTAATATGAATATCATTGTGCATCCTGAGGCATACCTCAGGATGCACATTTTTTCATCTCATAAATCTCTGGGTATATTTTAAGTATGTAGATTTTGTGTATCGTGTTGGCAGTAGTAACCTCAACTTGGCAGGGGATAGTGATTATGCTGTTTTATGCTGTTAATGACAACCAAGAGGTCTATAATTTAAGGCCATGTTTACACAATGCTAATTACCTTTTCATGGAAACGGGTTGTGATTGTTGGTTTTTTCAAATGTATTGTTTGAGTAGATATTAATGTTCATACAGTAGATACCTCCTCTACATCCTTTGCCCCTTTTCTGACATATTTTTCATTGTCCTTGAAAGTCAAGGTCACTCAATGTGCCTGGTATGAAGATGCCTTACACTTTATCATATTAGTGGGACAGGAAAAGTCTTATTTTCATTGTGTATCAACCTTTACAATAAACCTTAAGCTCATATTTACACTACTCAGTTATTTCATGATTGCTTGGCTTAAATGTTATTGTTCAAGTCCATCAAATTGCTTGAGGAAACCCCACTGTGTTATGACGTAGGCGAGGATTCTGGGTCAAGTGAAGTCATTATACAGCTGCAGTACTTCTATATGTCATGGTATCCCCACTGTGTGTCAATCAAGGCGACATGCACTGGATTGTCTGATTCAGACTCGGTTACACACCTCCTCCATGTAGCAGGAATACTTCTGAGTGCAGTGTTTAGCAGCACACAAAACGTGTAATGTTCAGCTGCACTTACTCTCTCACTGTTCTGATATATGGCAGTTCTGTCAGATCTCTTTGCTGTTGTTACTGTAAGGTAACGTCTCGATTCCATGTTTTTATGTGCAAAATCCTAAATCCTTCTACATCTACTGAATCTACAGTAACTATTAAGTCTGGGAAAACTCATCCTAACACAGAGATGGCAACCCTGAATCTAAGGAAAACAGAGTCATGAGAGGCTGAAAGCCAGGCCTGAGCACCAAAGGTGCGAGTTGGGGGTGAGCATGTGGTCGGCTCTGTTATTTTGTTTCACTTTCATATGGACTATGACATGCATTCAGAAAATCTTTGTGAAACTTCGTCAATAACATGCAAAATACACAATTGACACCCAAAGGATCACACGCTAAGCTTCTAAATGCTTATACCAGTGTTCACTCAAATAAATCACCGGTGACTTACGAAATCTTTACCGTAAAAATACATTCAGAATTTCTTCCCAAAAATTGGAGTTTTTTAAAGAGAAATTAGAGAGCAGATTTTTGTATTTGAAAATCGGAGTAACTCGGCCAAAATCAGAGTGGTTGGCATCTCTGCTAACAGTGCTATCACCAAAATTGAAAATGTTGAAGTTTTTAAATTATTATTTCAGCTTTTACTTTGAGTGATTTCGGCATGTTTATAAATGTTTGGGGCACATTTAAAATACAGCTGTGATTTTATTATCTGTAGTGAAATGACGGTATACTGACTTTCTGCTTATGCATTCATTCTATGCAGTGCAGAAATATATTCTGGTTACAACGATCAAACATCATTTAAGTATGTATATGCACTTTCAGTACGACTACACAGGCTAGTTGACATACAGCACAGATATTGAAACTGGAAGTAAAAAAATCTCATCAATTCTGAACGTACTACATGAAATTTCCATGCAACATATTTGTGTAATATTTTTTTTCATATATTAATGATTTTTTCAGACTACATGTTAAACTAGGTAATACAGGAATAATTGGATATTTGTTTATGACAGTATTTGTCATGCTTGTCCTGTTTCAAGTCCATTCTTAAAAGCAGGCATATTTAAATATGAACGTAGTGTTTTACTAAATATTCATTTATTCTTGCAAAAATAAAATTACATGCAATACTGGCAACATTTAGTATGGTGAGTTTCTCCAGATTCTTTATATGCAATTTCCATCATTCAAATTGAAACATTTCACATGGAGGTTTGTAAATGAAAAAAATCAAATTTACAAAATAACGCTTACCTTTGATTGAATAAAGAAAAATGCCATTTGAATCTTATCAACTTTCTACACATACAAAGTGAAAAAACATAATCATTAGATGCAAAACAGAAAACAACAATGGCATGTTAAAGTACCAAATTTATTTGTTTTCTCAAAATATTACAGAGGATGTTGACAAGAGAAAGCATCACACTTAACCATGACATCTTCCCAACTTAGTCATTATTTAGCATTCAATGTTATTTTCACCTCCTTGATACTTTCTCTTGTAAAGATGAACGTTTCATTGGAGTCACTGCAGACACTAATCCCATAACGTACAAGTCTGCTTCTCAGAGTTAAGACACAAACAAATAAATCCTATGTAACAATAAGAACAATAATATATCAATGAGCAACAAATACAGACCGTGAGCAATAGTACATAGCCAAATGGCTGTGAGATGACTAAGAAATGTGCAGCAGCATCATCTAATATCACATATCTAGGATCTCATGCTTGCATAATTGAAGGGAATCTGTAACATAGATTATTCTGCTCACTCTACAAAACATATTTACTCAAATCAATAAACTTTCGAAAACAGCTACAGAATGTTTGTTTTTGTGACTTAAAACAGCTATGTAGTAAAGATATTTTAATAATATTTAATAGTGGCACATGAATATTTTAATGAAGAAAATCATGGCACAGTTCAGCTTTGTGAAGAAATTGAAGTCACTATTCAAATTGCATATTTACAATATGACATCAATAATTTACTCATTTACTAATTCAAGTAGATTCCATGTTAAAATATATTGGAAATATTGAATGAGGCAATTTTCAATTTGATTATTTCATATGACACTGAATACACAGTTCTTGAAAGTAGAGGGGAGAGAGAGACTAAAGAAGAAAAAGATGCTTCTAAGTAAATCAGCCTTTTAAAACTCAATATCACATGGTACAATCTCACAGGCATACTTCATTTCAAATTCATGAAAACAGACAGACACTACTATTAACAGTTGTCAAGTCGGAAGACATTTAGACATTCCAAATGAGTATTTATCTATCACAGTAAAATGCATGCAAAGATCGATAAATAAGTAAGCATGACAAACAACTTCTTGAGTGTGGCCAAAAGTGCCACCATTAGCTTACTGAGAACAATAAAATATCACAGATTCAAGACAAGCATAACAATTTAAGAATAAATGTGAGCAGTAGTTTACACTGTGAGGTGATTCTGGTGACTTATGCATTTATTGGATGACTCAGGGGGCTGAATATTGGTTCTGCCAGAAACACTTAATCCAATATGCACTTGCATATATGTTCAACTGGTCTGAAATAAAACCTTATGTTTAGATACCACAGTATGAATACTGATCTGGATAGTATATATGATAATCAATATGAAAGCTATTGTTGTGGGTATATATACAAGGTACTGTATGGAAACATTAGTCTGCATTAAACTGAGTTTGGCACATAATGAGAAGCTGAAACTCAAAGTTGTTTATTATCTACAATATTGAAAAACAACAACCTAAACTTATAGTAAAAAGTTAAGCAACTGCAGATTACAAAATCAATATCAAGTTTGAATTGGGAAAAGCCAAAATCATTCAAAATGGGATGAACTGGACTGATGATAGTGAGTAGTATTTATGATAGGCCTGGCTATTGATACAGATCATAGAGATCAGTAATTGTTTACTACATATCAATCGATTACAGATAAATATCAGATAAGTTTGATCAAGCCATGTGGCAGCAAAAGATGAGACCAAAAATATTGTTTCCCCATTTGGAACATGTCTTTTCAGTGATCCAGGAGATAACAAATGGTCTGACTAATTGTACTGATGTCCATTCTGACAGTTGCTTAGTTTATTATCATCAGTATTGACTTATCAAATATAACACAAGATAAATAATATCATAAATTAGTTGATGCATTAATGTAACTTAATAGAGTTTGCATGTTGTTTTGCTCAGCATGTAAGATCAACACTTGAATATTAAGAACTCTTTCTTCACTTGCAAAATTCTTTGAACTGAATTATCGCATTATTTACTATCATATTTTTATCATTTTACAGATGGATGGTGGAAGATGATTTCTACACGTCTAGTTTCTAGTGCTTGTGCAATGAACAAATAATTTTGATTTCACACCATGGAGAGTAATATGTTGTATGGATATACATAGCGATGAATAGTGTTTTGTAAAAACAAATTTGAAACTCATACTTGATTATTCTAAATGTGAAATATGAACCTTATAGTCCCACTTGGGGATTGCAAACCACTTCCAGAAATAACAGTGAATATCTTTGGCTTGCAGAATTGCTATTTACAATAACAAAACATGTGGACATGTTAAAGTGAGGTCCGTATTATCAGTTCACTAAGGTTTCACTTTGGCTTTTAGGGGCTATCTGAATACACAAAGTTGCATGTATTACATGCACTGTACACATGCAGTGCCAAGAGAGTGGTACTGCTGGAATGAATGCTATGCAAATACAATAGTGTCTGCCAAAGCACGTCCAACAGGGCTAGATGACTCCATCTTCCAGTAACATCTAACCAAGACTTGCATCAACTTCATCACCCAATGGGCGGCAAGATTTCGCTTTTGGTATCCATCACATTGTCACTTCAGAAAATTATCCTCTGAAGAATATTCACACTTTATCTCTTGTATCCAGTCACTTTCTCTGTTATGTGGTTTGTTGTCAATGGTTACTGTACATAAAATGACAGGTCAGCACTTTATGAATGCTTCCCAGAGTCACAGTGAACAATTCTTATCAAAGTTTTGCAGTTGGGAGCACATTCTTTCATCTGGGTGCTCTTGTCAGGGTTGAAGACCTATATTCCTGTTTTGGCCCCTATTTATCTTGCCATAAACACAGATATTTATTTAACATTCACACTGTAAACAAGTGCTACAAAAGGTATAGTCAATCACAGCACGCATCATAAGTCAAGGTGATTGATGTCCAAGTCACTGCTACTTGAGTACAGCGTGTTCACAGATGGAACCTGAAGAGTATTTGATACATTTTTCTTTCGGATAGGCGAGAAGTGTTGGTTTTGTGCACTTTTCAGGCTGGCCCGACTGACAGCACTGCTGGGCCTTGAAGAACTGAAGAAAGACGTGAGCGCATTGCTGAGCCGACGACCGAGGCTCATAATGCTGTTTGCCCGGGACCGCGAGTCCTGGGAGCTGGAACGAGACAGGTTTTGCTGCATGGCCTGAACGGTGATGTTCTTCAGCAAGCGCTGAGTCTTGAAGCTCTTCCAGGCTTGTTGCAATGTTTTAGCAGCTACTTCCTCTTTCTTCCGCTGCATGGTGGTTGATTTAACTACCGTGTTGACACGTGAGGGGAAGACGGCCTGGAATTTCAACTCCATCTGATTTCTAGCCTCCCTGAATTCTGCAGTTTCTTCCACATCCGATAACACATTTTTTACCAGTGCCATTAAGATGTCTAAGCAGTGTAGTTTATCTCCTTCAACTATTGGAAGGTCAAATGACACAAGAGCTATCTCATTTGGTTTGGCTATCCCAAATGGTTCCTCCAGATCTGCCACAAAGTCAGTGAGTTGTTCATATTTAATGAACTGGGTAGCATGAGGGTCGTACCTCTCCCAAACCACATAGAACATATCAAAATCATCCTCCGTGATGCCAACCTCCTCTTGTTCATGGGCTTGGTTGAAATTCTCTAGAATCACAGCTATGTACATATTGATAACAACGAGGAAGATAATGATAATATAGGTCACCATAAACGGGATGGCTAGCCACGGTATGCCACAATCCCCATATGTCTCCTTCACCAAGGTCCCATTTGGCAAGGTCTTGTGGTCTGGATCACAGTCAGGGGGAGAAATCAGCATAGCATCCAGGATATCGTTCCACCCAGCAGAGGTAGCTAATCTCAGCAGCAACATGAATGAGTTGAAAAATGTCCTGAAGTTGACAATATCATCAAGTGCTCCATTAATTTTTAGATTGCCAAAGGAGGACAAGCCAATGATGGCATAGATGTAGAGAATCAGGAAAAGCAGGGCACCGATGTTGAAGATGGCCGGAAGGGAGATGATGAGAGCAAACAGAAGCTTACGGATACCCTTGGCAGCCTTGATAAGACGTAGAACTCGACCAATACGGAAGATTCGGACAACTCGTAGCAGTGTCGGAGTCACAAACACGTCTGAGAGCAGATCATCCAGTACCACACCTGAAATATTGGGAGTTCATTAGAAAATTGGTTCATAAAATGCCTCACATAAGCATTAAAATCTCAATAAGATTCTTGCTTTGTTATCAGTACACAAAATTTGTAGCAGCACGCCATGCCTGTTGGTTACATTTGTTTTGAAGGTATTACAAACATTGAAGTTACTTGTCTATTCTATCAATGTTGTTTAATTTCAAAGCCATTTTATGTCACTAAATGCACTATTCATAAATCTATAAATTCATATTAAGTTGTTTTGAGCTACACGAACATGAAATGGTAATGTTTGAATATACCATTTCTTTATGAGATGTTTATAGAAAATCATTGCAGCTGGAAATGAAATGGTTATCAAACACTGACATTTATCATACATTCAAGAAATAAGCCCACAACATTCAGGATCATGAAGTCAGAACTACAAAATATGTACAGAAATGTGTTCACTTTCAGGTTGTATTTGGTATGAGACATCTGTAATGTCATATAAGTGTAAAAATACACAGAATTTGTGAAATAGTGTAGGTCTTGTGTGATTTATGAAAATAACCCAAATATCTGTATGTTGTCTGATAACAATCTTCCAAGAGTTGTGAAAACTGTCATCAGCAGTCCTGCTTAGAGAAATGTACTGAACACATGCCTGGACCCCGTTTCACACAGCTATCGTAGCGCTACGACTGTCATAAGTCTATGTTACAGTATAGGAGGTACGACAGTCGTAGCGCTACAATAGCTTTGTGAAATGGGGCCCTGGTCTTGCACATTCTCTTGCTCCAGCTGTCTTGAACACATGGAGAAATCATTCAGTGGAGAATTTACAACACATAACAAGTAAACATATGGAACAGATATAAGATTTAAGTTGAGAGGTTATTCGTCACAATATGTGTAGTGTTTGATTATGATTCATTATCATGGAAAGTAGGACTATCCACTTGTAATATAAAAATCACCTGGGAGGCATTAATAAGGTGTCAATGGTCCCCTAAACAATATGTACCATGTTTTATAAAGCAGTTATTACATTGCTTTCATTGTTAGTGAATATATATTTATTTAGGAGAGGTGTATCATTGTTGTAATAGTAAGCCATTGTACTGAATATTGACTGTGTGTAATATATGAAATAATTTTCATCTGGAAATTGCAGAAACAGAACATCTAAAAATGGAATAAAACATACAAAAATGTAGGTTTATAAGGGAAAAGAGAAATATGGAAAACATTAGGGTTTTTTCAATTTCTTCAATCGGAACATGAAAATTTCTCCCTCAGATAATGTAGGACTTACAAAGTGATGATCAAATCTCTCACTGTTTCTTGGATCAAACTGCTGCACATTATATAGAACATTACAATGACAATAACTTCAGGTCAACATACAGAATTGATACTCTGTATTGTCAATCACTCGAGAAAACTGTCAGACATTAATTTTGACAATGTCAGACAAAATATCAAGAGGAGAATATGGAATCAACATTGTCTCAGTATCAGGACATTCACTCCATCCTGCTGTCCATGTCCATATTAGGGATAAACACAGATATGTAGTTTGGTATATTTAACTTGCTTTAAAGATCTGCCAACCTCATAATCATGAATGTGGAAAATATATATACTGCTGTTAATTTTTTTTACATCACCACTGTATTGTCACAGAGCCTGATACTTTTCTTTACCATAAAAGATTAAGCATCGTTTTCTGTCTGACCCAGACAAGTGACACAAGCTCAAGGACCCCACAAAGTGCACTCATAAGATGAGCCATACTGAGCATAGCCTGTTGCCATGGAAATACCATAATGTTTCTTTCACATTTCACAAAAACATGAAAAAAGTCTTTAAAATGAATATATTTTCATATCCTACAACCCTTATTTACTTTAAACCAGATAACTATTGAAGGGTCTCATTTGTTTTGTTATTATTTCGACCACTGAGGCAAGGTTTTGATAAAACAATCATTGTGGTTTCAACTGTGTCCCTTTACCTGGTGATCCTGTACACCAAATATGGGACATTTAACTGACATGTTAGAAGAGAGTAACAATGAAACAATATGTCCCTACACTTAACCTTAACATCATTTTTCAAGTCCTTTGATGTTTAAGTTAATATAGATGACTCCTGCCTTTATTCTATGGTTATTATTTCCCATCACATGTAATGAGGCGTCAACATGACTTTCAGCAGATCCTAAGCCAGCTCAACAGAAATATCATTTCACTCAGGTTTGGGTCTAGCAGTCACAGGCTAAAGTCCTTTCATGCTGAACAAATACATCTATATCCAACCCTGTTACAACCCTGTTATACTATGCAAGGCAGGGTCTGTGACAAATTCTTACTGCATACTACCATATTTCCTCTAATAAGCACCCGGGTGTTTATTTTTTCAATGGTTTTCCAGACCTGGTGCTTATTTGAGACCTGGCGCTTATTGGAGACCTGACGCTTATTCACCTAGCACCGGATCCCATACACATTTATATAAAATACCCCTTGATTGCAGCATCAACTATTACATAATATCCATCAACAAGTGTCATGTGGAAGACAGGAAGTTATGACTAAAGGGAATTTCACTCTCCACTATACCCTGGATGCATCCATGGCTTGGCCCCATAATTATATTACCTCCCTTGGCTGGCTTTTTATCCAATCAGGTGTCTATGCTGGGAAGTTGAGCGAAGCAATCACAACTCACTTTCGCTTCTTAAATTATCTAACCGTTTAAACTTGGCAACACAATTGATGCAGAGGTACTCTGAAAGAGGTAGAAGGAGTTCTTTCATATATTTTTTTTAAGTTTCAGATCTGTCAATTTGCCTGTATTATTTCCCCAAAAATCTGAGTGGCACTGCGAACAAACCTTCACGACTGCAACCGCTATCTTTGTTGACACTGGCAAGCTCGGATGTAACGGCGGCTTAGCTGATTGGCTACTGTGAGAATGCGGAGCCACCAAAGGGAGATAATATAATTATGGGGCCAAGCCGTGGATGCATCCAGGGTATAGTGGAGAGTGATCGTAACGTATACCCTGGAGATTATCGAGGATGATTTACCCCCTGTGCTTATTAGTGTTGGGAATTGGTTGAAATCTCACAATTGATGATTGCTTCATTACCAACGAAAAAATTGGTTATCGTCATTTTAAAGATTTTTCTATTCAGGTTGTTATTGCAGATAAGTATAACATGATGCAACTTGCTACTTTAAAGTGATGACTAATATATCATGAACATAAACTACTCAGAGTCTTAAACTATTATTAAGTCATGACTTTTCAGTTATTGAAGTGAGTTTTCTAAGAATTAAACACATTTTCAGGCCCTGACAACTTCGAATATATGTTCCATCCACAAGAGTTTCAAAGACTAAAACAGTAGTTCCAAAATCCTTTGTGTTCGATTATGAGAAAATGCGATCGATTGCTTGGTTGTTGGTCACTGCGACCAATCTTCGATTATTTCAATTAATCGGACCACCACTAGTGCTTATTAGAGGCCCGGCGCTTATTAGAGGAAATACGGTATACAGGCTAAATGTATGTATCTAGTGCATAACCCTCGTATGGACCGGACATGACATAATGAAGCAGGGTACATCTACACACCCATGTGCCTCGAACATATAATGCATATTATAACAAACTTGCAGACAGGGCTCATGTGTGAGTTCATTATAATATATAATTGATTAAACGGTTGTGTGCTCTGAGGCACATGGGTAGTACAACATGGGTGGAGCTAAGCTAGATGTAAATCTACATAAACCCACCATCAACATTGGCAAATACATACAATTATAGCTACAAGAACCAAAACAATTCACCACTTGATACAATTCATATACTTATTTAATTATTTTGTTAAATTTCATCATTTATTTTAATATTTCACATCATCATACCCTAAAAGTCACTAATGGCATGACGACAATTAACTTTACAATAAAATTTTAAAAATTATATATTTTCTTTTCAAACGAATTGGTTCGTTACATCAAAAGTTTGCACAGAACATCATAATATGTATCACAGAGAAGAAAGTATGACATATGGTACCCTTGGTGTATGGTTCTGCTCTAGTAGCTACAGAGACATGGGTAGACATTCAGGTACATGGGTGGATACATGGGTGGATGGTGTAGTTAGTGCTCCTGTCAGTAGTAAGGAAGGTCAGGAATTGTGTCCAGATAACTGCCAACACTGTGTATGTCAAGTAGGAAACTATCAGAGAACAGGTCCCTTGTTTACAACCTGAATTAATTGCTGAGATTTAGGAAGCTGAATCTCCATTTGCAGTTGATGAACGGCGAAACAAAAACCAGATCAAACAATGTACATACCACTCAAACGAAGTACAGGACATCTTAATTCTTTCACACCAGTCCACTATTGTTAATCTGGCATGCCATGACAGATTAATTGTATTAATATGAAACAAATCTATTGGTCCTTGGCTTCTTTTAGGTAGTATATAACACTCTATGTTTGCTGAAATTAGTTATGGTATACTTGAACAAACTCCAATCATTTGCTTGTTCTAATGCATTTCAATTACTGTAGTCTTGATTTGGCAGTAACGGTACACTAAACACAATTCCTGATGTACACATATATCAGTGCCCATTATCTTTATTATGTGACTAAAATGTGCAGATGTTGCATTAATGTATCTATATTTTAATAAATTGAAAACCATGCTTATGATTTGAGAATTTACATGAGAGATTTTCATATTGTGCAATCAGATGAGTCTACTTTATATACTGGTGACATAGTGCTTGAAGTCTATATTGCCAGCACCAAGTCATTTGGCAGAATCTAGGACAGTCACATGACATGAACTGAGCTACTGATTGGTTGTTGCTAAGTTACCTGACTGTAACTGGCTCACGGTAATATCTAAATAAGAAGATTCATGAAAATTGTAAAACAATGTAGTTTGCTGTTGAGTATCATATTTGACTAAATAAGCAATCTCTTTCAAATCAGATCATAGTTCTAACTACCACCAAACCAAGATACGAGGATATCCTCAGAGAGACTATTTTCAACCTTTGACCTAACAATGGTATTATGAACACGAAATTGACTGTATCCAATCAAAAAGCAGCTTTCTTAAACTTGATGGCTCTAGTTTCTAACTGATAACTTCCTTTACAGACCATGCTATGAAAACTAATTGACAGATCTCAATTCCAAATTTGAAAACTGAACAAAAGAAATTTCTGGAATGTTTGACTGAGATTGTATGACAGTACCTTCCATGGGTTATGGCAAGTATCTTCCATTTCAAATGTTTATCAGATTGAAGCAGTGGATAGAAAATGATTTCGATGGAATCAGGCTAATGACCAAAAACAGTTGTTCTGAATACCATGTGTTGAGCTATTTCAGGTCTGACCACTTTTCTTTTGAACGGTCATTCTGATGTGACCTGTAATCTGACCTGATTGCGAGTGTCCTCAACTCTTTATTTAGTGGTACCAAGAACTAAGATCTGATCTTAATGAGAATTAAGGTGACGGTTCTCTGAAAACTGAATTAAGATATTAAAATTGTTAATATTCATTTTCAAGATAGTAGATTGAAACCTTTGAGAACTTAAATGTTGCACAGAGGCAGAGACAACAGTAATATGTGAAACTGTTTGATGTGCTGAAAAAGTAATGACTTTACTATGGTAACAGATTTTACAAGTTCTTTCAATTCAATACCACGAGGAGGATGAATCAGTGGATGCTGGCTGGGAAACATACCATATTTCCTTGTGTGTAATGCACACTCTAAACATATATCAATACATAATACAGTTGTGTAGAAGGACGTGAGCTTTATACACACAGGCAGTGAGTTTCTATTGTAGTCATATTTTTTTATTATGTATGCAAAGGCATAAACGCTTGCACGAAACATCTGAAGTATCATGTCAACACATCCTTGTGTTACAAGTTAACTCTTATATTACATTTTCTTGTTATGAAAACTACATTTTCTATACATTTTCTGGTATTCACATTTGCATTGACCAAGTCTGTTATATGCTCTCTGTTCACCTGAAGGTGGCAAGCAATACAATAATTTGGACTGCATATATATATAAAATAGAAATTTACTTGAACCTTGTACCTAATAACAAGGATTTCTCATTATAGTCATAGGTGCATTATACACAAGAAATTATGGTCAATGAAAACCACAGTGTCTGACAATAGGGGCTGGACGAGACATCTGGATTTCTCATGCATGTGTCACTTATCTCCCTGTTCAGTGAGACTGTCTACAACACTTAATTCAACAACAACATTGATCACCACTCTGCAGAGGGATGATATCAGCTGATCTAAGCAGGTTTATGAAAAGGGTATTTTATGAATCAAAATTATGTGTGTAGATACAAATTAATTCTTGCATACATAATACATCTGCAAGTGTAGGTGTGTGACTTGGGGCTTAACATGGCTTTGAACAATATTTCAGTTAAATCAGAGCATGTCAGCTTAATGTGAAAGAAAAGCCTTCAGTGATGCAGGTGAATCTTTGATTCTTCCATGACAGGATCCTTTCACAGGTAAGGGACACAACTCAGCAAAGTGTGGCTGAGTGTTGGTCCACAAATATATGAATGTCCCCTTTCTAAACTAGTCTTGATGAAATGAGGGAGTCAACTGGCAAAAACCAATTATGATTCATATGTTTAACACACACACGTCACAGCAGTTGTATGGAACCATCCAGCTGTACTGGCCAAAGGAAACATATCAACAGGAACAAAGTGAACAACTGTCAAACATACTACTACAAATGTTAACATAATAAGTCAACCTCCTTTTTAAATGACAGAAAATTGGTTCTGTTCTATCAAAGGAGACAAGTCAAGCTGTTGACGCTCATATCACTTTGTTCTGTAGTATTCCACAAGTGTGAAGAATCATTTATTACTTGCCCGTGGAAGATACTGCAGTGTAATAGTTTTACAGCAATATTAAACTTGTGTAATACCGCTAGACGTATGACGTCATAAATGTTTACAGTTATGACGTCACAATGCTAATACCGCTGTCACAATGGTATTAGAACTTACTTGACTCTGGAAAGCCGAGAGTCATCACACTACGTAGTCAGTTTCTATCAATTTCTGTTGGAGAGTAATAAACAGAATACTAAACTCGTTTCCGTGAAATACCATTTTGATCAAACTCATGAATGATTTAGCATCAAACTATCTTTCACTCATTTGATACCAAATCATTAACTCATTTAATAAATATAGTATTACAGGGAAGGTCGTTTAGTATCCTCTATATACTGCATAGTTCTACCAAATGTACAGGTGTAAGCTAATTAAACCTACACCTGGAACTAAAGCAATGTATATTAAGGATTGAAATCTACTTGTCTAATGAATTGATGCTTTTCTACAAATTCAAATCTACAAACCAACAGCAAACTGATCACAGCTTGCTGACCACAGGTGATCAGTATATTAACACATCCCTAAAACTGATGTCTGGTTACATTATTTCTTATATTATTTATTTCAACTTATGACTGCAATTGTGTATGAAGGTGCCTTTGACTAAAAAGGTAGGAATCACTTCATTGAACAAAAAGAGTTCTGTTCAAAAGAAACTTTCAGTTTTCTGTCTCATTTTGCTACAAAAGAGAACTTAAAAATGTACTAATTAAACGAGAAGCAAGCAAATGTTTATTGCATGTCCACATATTAAGTCTCACCTAGGATAGAGAGGATGACAATGATGAAGTCAAAGACATTCCAGGCCTGGCGGAAGTAGTGCCACCGTAGCCCGATAAGTTTCACCATGGCCTCCAGGGTAAAGACAGTTGTGAAGATGATGTTCATGATGTCCAACACCTGGGACACAGCATCTGACTGGTTGTAGTGCTCAATCCCCATCACGATCATATTCAGGAAGATGATCAGCACTATAGACAACTCAAACTTGTTGCTGATGGACACATCGTAGAAGAAGGCTGCAAATTGTTTCTGGAAATGAAGAGATATGAATGATGTAATATCTTGTAGTTACATTGGTTATTTGTCTCTCCACTTCAGTATGGAGGTATTCTATCAAGGGTAGGTGCCATGACTTCACTCCTACTAATCCACAGTGTATTTGGGATTAGCTGTTTAACTGAGACAACAACAGTAAGTTGGGCAAGAGCAGGTTCTTCTGGATCTAGTCTTGAGACCAGCAAACGTGTGATACATGCTTATATATGATGATTCCTCAGCACTTATCGCTACTACTTGACTGAGAGGGCAAGGTATCATGCCACTTTTAGCAATGTTTAGGCATTAGCAAGGCATTGTACTCAAGTTGAGAACTGAACACCTTTCGTGTGATTGATTGAGGATAATGAGTAATATGAAGTAGAAATAAGAGAGTCAGAAAAGAGAGTTAGGGACAAGCAATTAATGGTTTGGTATTGTAATAGGACTAATACATTTTATGCACATAATTCACAGAAAGTGTATACAGTTGGCATACCTTTGGTCTTTTGATGGTTTTCTGAGGTTTCTTGTTGCCAAGTTTCTTGAGAGTGTTGTAGTAGTTGCGCTGACTTGAGGTGAGGAACATGTCCAGGTAGCTGCCTTCATACTACAACATAAACGCAATTCCTTTACAGTACTTATCATTGATCCCTTTTGGGTATCTTGAGCAAACAGGTCAACCTAGTACTTAATAAGATCTGGATGATGGCAGTATATATTGTTGTAGGGAGTGATGGAAGTGGCAGCAAATATAGTGCTCAGCAGCTGGCAAATTATAGTTACCTCCCTTAGCTTTGTAAACACACTGCAGACTATATCATTTGAGAAGTTTCATGATGACTGAATTGCATGTTGGCTGTGCCTATTTCACACCTGTCTCATCTACTTACTGAGCAGGCAGGACACCTATCTGAAAACTTTCTGCCAGCTTCCGATACTGTTTCTAGATTCAAGAACAGAGCACCAGCCTCATGCAAGACATTTGACAGTGACTCTGTATATTCGTAAGTGCACTGATATTTATTACATAGCCTGTTATTCATTGCTGCTGCCTCTAGGATTGTATTGCCTTATGTGATTCTAACTCCACAAATCTGAGTGTCAAGTTGTTAATTGTTCATTCATCTAGTGTGGTTGTTTACTGATTTCACAATTTACTTCTGTTGAACTGATTTAACCACTGCATTTCACTTGTAAATAACATAGATTATTACAACAACCACTCATTTGCCTGGCTTACTTATGCTGAAACTGATGAAGTTGCTGACTAGCATCTATGGTGCCACTGTTTGCAGTACAGACAAAATGTCCCAGTCATGCCAGAAATCTATTATCACAGGTTCGAACCCAAAATTCACCCTAATTGTGTGTCTTGTTGGTTTCAACACCCTACTATGGTAGGGTGTTTAACAACTGCATCACTTCAGCTTTTCTCTTGCCATTGAACAAATTTTCTCATCTGAATGCTGAGAATTCTGTTAGCTTACTCTAGTGAGTATGTTGCACTGTGTGTTTAAAGTCTTACCCTTTTCTTCAGCACATTGAAGTTATCAATGATGACACCAATCAGTAGGTTGAGTGTGAAGAAGGCTCCAAATATTATGAATCCCACAAAATACAAATAGGCAGCAAAGTTGTTCTCATTCTTTGGCTGAAGATCAATCTGGAAGTATTAAACTTTCTGTGAAACAAATTCAATCAACGTTGCCAACAGCAGAAAGACCACTAATTCAAATCTGGGTCTTCTTCTTCAAATAGGGAACATATTAACAAATAGAAAAATTAAAGCCAATAGTGCCATTAATAGATACGTTTGTAGTGTCTAAAAAGAGGTTCAAAACACAACTGGCTGGGTTTTATATGTAGTATCAGAGACCATATAATAGATATTATATGATCTCTGGTAGTATGTTGCAAATGTTATTAGGATCAACTCAACATCTGAAACAAGGAAACAGATGACAATTGATATGTATGGACTGTAACAAGGGTTTATAACACTTTGGATTTTATAAAGTAAAAGTCACAAAAAGCCAACTGTATTAATTTTGAACCCTGATACTTTTTGTGTGAAGTATTTACTTACATCAGTTGCATCTACAGCATCAATCATGACCTCCATCCAGCCTTCAAATGTTGCCTGTCAAAACAAAAATATGGGTAATCACACATCACTAAGTATTAATGGTATTGTGAGTTGAAGGGTGGTAGTTTGTCATTAAAACTAATGCCTTTTAACATCACCTACTTTAAAGTCTATTTGTCTATTTATCATAGTCTGAAACTAAATATACCTGGTCAATATTCTCACTCAAGCATTGTTTGATGGCTTTCATGGATAAAAGCCTAGCCTGGCAAATATATAAGCACATCGTCATGCTGGCTCACTATCACATTTTTGGAGGTTGAAGAAAGCTGGGTGTTACTTAAGTTTTTAACACTGCTTTTTGGCCAGTCACCACAAACCATAGCATATACTAACACTAGTGTGGCAAACAGTTGTTATCAATGGTTGGCACGTAAGTACGAAAGGACGACAGGACATTTAGGCAATGTGAAGCATAGAAACAATATGTTGCTGGTATTTTCATTTTGCAGAAATTATTGTGACACTTACAACTTGAAACAAGGCCAAATAACCCTGTAGGACGTTGTCAAAGTTGACATGGGAGTTTCGCCATGAGTAGTTCAGGTGGCTGTTTGCTTCGCATTGGCTCCGGTTGGCAATGATGTCTGCATCAATTCTTTCCAAGTTAGCATCCACGCACTTATAAAACTTGCCCGAGAAGAACTGGACACCCATGATGCTGAAGATGAGCCAGAACACCAGGCACACAAGTATGACATTCACAATGGCTGGGATGGCCAACATCAGTGCGTTCACCACAATCTGGAACAGCAATGGTCAGTGTTATATAATTGTTAAATACCAGAATATGTTTCTGATAAAAAGAAATGGCAATGAATGATGAATGTAAAAGTTATGAGATGTGATAAAAGAATAAATATCCTCTTAATCCACAATGAAAGTAGTATTGGATTCAGTAGAAATATTTCTGAAGGGGAAGTAGAAGGCATTATTTTTGTTAAATTTGATCTTTTATAAAATACAATATGTCACTCTGGACACACCATATCCAATGGTAGACAACAAACTGTTGTGAGATGTTAAGCAAGACTACAACCTTACATTCAATGTATCATATATAAAAAAAGAATAAAGAAATCAATGTATCATGACCTTACATGCCACTTTTAATATGTTAGATACAGTTGTTATTAGTAAAACCCTCTCTTCAATGATACTACATCTTAATCCAACTTCACAATCCAGCTTTTCATGAGATGATCAGCAGTATTCTGTATAATTTCCTTAAGAAATGTATCTAGAAACCCAATGCATACAGCTACTTTATTCCATTTCTATTACTTCATTTAAGGATATGCAAACTAAAAATGACCCCAGTATGATACAATATTTTAAGAATAGCATTTTATGTCAGTGAATTGTTTTTGTCAAATTGGATCAATTTGAAATGGAACTTTTCCCATATAATGCATAACACTCAAGCAGTTTGTTTCTTTCATTTCATGATTTGTCATTTTACTCTTCCTAAAAGGCAATCATTTTGAAAATGTTGTGGAAACAACATTTTTCTATCTTGCATACCAAAAACCATCTCTGTGGTTTAAGAGAAAAGAATCTGTATAGCAAGTAACAAAATATAAAGGTCCCCAAGACAGGAGGATCAAGTGAAAAAATCAATGATGAAGAATCTTCCATGGTGTGGATAAACCAATGTCAGGTGAGGAGACTCAGGTTACCTTCATTCCCTGCCATCTAGAGATGGCTCTAAGAGGTCGGATGGCTCGTAAGGTTCTCAGAGATCTAAATGCTGCAATATTTGATATTCCCAGAGATTCGGCTATCAAGCTGATGATGGATATCTGAAAGAAACATATTAAGGATAGCGAATATATTTACGTTTTCATCACTTCAAAAACACAACAGCACTGGTACATGATAGAACATATAATAAAGATAGTACAGTCAATATCATTTAGCTAACATCATGAGGAAATAAAAATAATAATAACTTGAGAGCGTTACTGGATAGTGAATAATTTATTGAGCTACACCTGTCCTTGACAAACTGAGCTAATAATTGGCAAGCATATTGTAAAGCAATTTTCAATAAAAACAGATATAATTAATTTCATGTTTTACTAATTGTTTTGATGAATATGCAAATGGACAGAGACAGAAAAATATATAATGCAAACAAAAGTCTCCGGAATTTCTCTTTTCAACACCACACTTGGCAATATTCTAGCAATATCATGAGACTGTGTAACCTATCGAGTCTGGACCAGACAAATCAGTGATTGATATCATGAACAATATTCCACACTGTCAGATTTTGCTGACAAGCAATCAATCGACTCACTAAACCAGATCCATCAAGAAGCATCATATTTCAAGTATACCTGGTAAGTTACTGGGGACCTATTTTCACATTGGCTGTCACCACAAATCATAAAACACAACTATTGTCAGGCACACAGACCACACTTTAAATAATCCTGCAAAATCTATAGGTTCTCAGAACAAGACTGAAGTCAATACACTGACATAGCCTTGGGAACAAATAAAAAGCACATCACTAAAGAGTAGCAGATCCTTACCAGCACAATGCAGAAGTCCAGTATGGTCCAAAAACTTGTAAAATACTTGTGCAAGCCATAGCCGAACATCTTAATCAACATCTCAATTGAGAAGAGAATACAGAAGATGATGTTCAAGTAATACAGCGCCAACTTCAGTGAAGGCTTCTCATCAAGAGTCACATCCTCAAATGCCTGAAAATAGACAACACTTATTGGCAATGAGTCTGCATGTTGGAGAAGCTTGACAAACTAATTGCAACGGGTCTTGTTGAAAACTGTAGGATGGACATTTACATAATGAAGGATGGACATTTAGATGTCATGAAAAATTATGTCTACAAAAACATTATTTGGCTACTCCAGTCAAATGAATTAAACTGTACATCTTGAAACAGTCAAATATAAAGTACATCTCACAACAACTCCTTCACCCCCATCCCACCCCACCCCCCAAATATCACAGGGCTGGTCACAATGAGACTTTTAGAATGTCTGTTGAATCCACATCATCAATGTTTAGACATCCAAATCGAAACAGGTCGATGAAATGATAAGTAATATTGATGCAATAATATAGATGCACCAGTTTTAAGGAAACTAACACTCACCAGGGTAACGCTACTTGCAAAGATGGTGAGTAGAACAGCTGTCTCAAATACTTTGTTGTCAGCAACTTTAACCAAAAACCTCCGCATGCTGTACCATCGTGAAGGCTTATCATACTTTGACAACCAGGGCATCCTGCAGCCAAATATAGAGTGGTGTAAGCTTGTTACATGTATATATTTAAGGTCAATTTAAAATCAAAACATCTCCTCACTCTCCTGGGACTTCATTACTGAATTACCTCAGGTTCATACAATAAAATTTGGCCTTAACAGTTTTGCACATAAGGCCATTTCGGCTGGAACAGTCAGCCAAATGAAATCTGTGAGACAGAATCCTAAGGAGAGTTCTGCAGGCTGCAGGCAAAATATCATTTTGATTTAGATTTACTTGGTATATGTATAGATATTAAAAGTAACCATGATATACTTGTCATAAATATATTTTACATATAAGTGTATAGGTCCTCTTTCTTTAACCTACCTTTTAGCAAGGATTTTGGGCATGCAGTTGTGCACCACAACTTCATTGTTTTTCTTCAATGAGGATGCAGTATCTCCGAGAGCAAGGCCATCTTCGTCTTCACCATTCTTCTTCCTTGCAGCCTCTGCCAGCCGTGCCTCCTCAAAGCTTGAAAACTGAGCCCTCTTTTGAGTGGTATCAAATGCTGCTTGGGCCTCCTGACAAATAAGACAGGCACTATGTAACTACATTCACATCTACATTCACTCAGCAGTAGTGTCAAGGCTTTTAATATTACACTATCAATAATGTACCGCAAATACAGAGCTAAACAGAAATATAGGAGCACATGGTAGCCTAGACTGACTGACTGACTGAGTTTGGTTTTACGCCGCTTTTAGCAATATTCCAGCAACATCACGGCGGGGGACACCAGAAATGGGCTTCACACATTGTGCCCATAAATGGGCTTCATAACGCTTTAACCATTAGGCTACCCCACCGCCCCTGGTAGCCTAGAGGTTGAAGTATTCATTCATAACAAAATGTCTAGGTTTGATGTGTGAAATCCATGTTGTCCCAAACATGAGTTTGCTGGGCTGACAGTGGCTTTGAATCATCCTCAACCACACAAGACCACATGCAAAAGCTCTTCTTGCACAGATTAATCAGATAACTCAATTGCTTTTTCCAAACAGTTTTGTAGTATATCTGTCCTGTCTGTTGTATTAAGAATCTTACCTTTACATTTTTGCCTTTGACAGACCCATTTGACTGTGTTTTCTTTGAGTCCTCAGATTTAGTATTTACTCCATTGGTAGAGGGTTTGGCATCAGCATCTGCATCTGCATCTTAAACATAATACAGATCTCATCATCACCAGGAAATACAAAACAAAACAATTCTTGGCCCTCAGACACCTCAGCATTAAGGTCACAGTGTCTGACTAAAACCACTAATTCAAAGATGATACTTGGACTATGAAGGTAATACTGGTCAACTACATGAATTACATACTCTACTGAAAGGGATGCAAAAGACAATTTTGGGCTGGCTGATTCAAATTGTTTGTGCACTGAGACCTTTCCTAAAAGTATTTAGTTGCCGTTCATAGCATTCATAAAAAGAGCTCTAATGTACTCCAGCACACAAATAGCTTCATATGGTCATGGTTTAAAACAATAATCTACTACTCACTCTTAACCTCCTTCCCATTTTCATCAATATCTATCACATTTGTAGATTCTTCCTCTGATGCCTTGCCATTCTTCTTGGGTTCTATGGAGTTTATGTTCTTGCCCAGGCAGCAACAACAAAGGCCTTTGATTCTCTGCCATGCCAACTTTAGTCGAGATTCTTCCTGGTTTGTTTCTTTGTGCTTGCGAATGGAGTCAGTAGCAAATGCATTCAGTAACAGAGCCAAGAACAAATTCAGGACCTGGAATATCAAGTATTGTTATTTGTTAGGAAATTGTTTTTGACTGTCCAGGTGAGCACCGTAAATGTCATGACATGATGTATACAGAGGGAAACATATAAGGGAACACCATTTCATGGCAGTGTTCCTTTATATATTCTCAGATTTCTTCCCACAGCGCTATTCAAAGCTGGTGATGAAAACTGGAAAATATTAAAGGAACGTTGAATTTTCTTGAGTTCCTTTATTTGTTTCTCTCAGTATATTTGATGCTACATAATTTGCTTGTCACATCACAACTGACAATTTTTTACATGTGTTAGTAGTTGAGTGTACAGGAATTCACGAAGTAAATGGTCTTGTTAACTACAAGATTTAAGGAACACCCATCTATAGTCTGCTGTGAGGCTACAACCTGGAGCTATTCCTTATGTTTACGTTGTATTGAAAGGTAGTTTCGAACTTATGACAAGCTTTCTCATATACTATTTATTGTGGTAAACAAGCTTCTCATTGTTTCTAACTTACGATGAAGTAGCCGAGCACAAGAGCAGGCAGGAAGACCACCATACAGAGTTCATTGTTGGCTTTCATGCAGGCCCACAGTGGCTCAATCCATTCTCCACAAAGCACACGGAATATCATCATCAGAGCATGCTGAATGTTGTTAAAATTCCATCTCCTATAAAGGAAAAATAACGTAGATATTGCATACATCAGATTCACACTTGACTCTTGTACTGATCAAATGCAAGAATTTAATGCACACCCTTCCATGAATTTAAATTACTCAATTGTGACTGGTCAATCAGAGGTACAGAATCCCATTAACTGCATTGGTTGAAATAGAAGAACTGACAACAGCTTCCCCTCATTTAAAGTACAGGGTCCCGTTTCACAAACCTCTCGTAAGCCTAAGATCTCGTAACTTTCCTCGCAGTATTCCCTATGTTACAGTATAGGAGGTACGAGTGCTACGAGAAAAGTTAAAAGATCTTAGACCTACGAGAGCTTTGTGAAACAGGGCCCTGTAACTGATCTGAGGAGCAAGTGCCTGAGCAAGTGAATGAATGTTATACGTTGTTTTTACACTCGATAATTACACCGTTTGGGTTGTCATGTAACTAGGAACCAGTGTCAGTTAGGGTACTCCAGCTATGTCACATCAACCTTAGAGTAACTGAGAATGGATCAGACATCCAAGTGATTGATAGCATAAAACTCTATCCACAAAGGTATGTTTCCCCATAATGAGACAGGTTTCCACCTAATCCAAGCATGGCATACCAGGACCTGTTCTGCCCTGGAACATTCATGCCATTAATTTATAACATAGCTTACGGTGGAGGGTCAGGGGCAAACTTTTCTGGTGTGTAGGTTGACATAAACAGCTGCAGTCCAGTTACAGCAAAGATGTAGATAATGATTGCCAGCACAATGGTTAGGTTTCCAAGGGCACCCAGAGTGCTCAAGATGATTGACAGCAATATCCTCATTGTTGGCCATGACTGTGCAAGTTTGAACACCCTGAGCTGTAGGAATACAAATATGGACAAGTATTCAACAGTAATACCACAATGTGACAAGTTAACTGTCTCTCATACTATGAATTTGTTCATAAAACATGTAAACTATTTTTTTAGAACTGTACAGAATTGCCAGTGTACTGTGATACACTTTTCAAACAATACATACTGCAATGTTATTTCTATGCTCTGGGATAATGGGTACAAAAATAATAAGTTTCATAACAATTAGCAATGTTTCACCCAAAATCTATAAACTAGTTCATTACAAATGGCAATACACACTCCCATTTGTATTAGATGATATACGTTTTTGTAAAACTTACCAATCTGAAGGTCCTAAAGACAGAAAGACCATCCACTTCTTCAAACCCTAAATCAATGATACTGGCGATCACGATGATCAGATCAAAGATATTCCAGCCACTCTTGAAGTAATACTTGTTGAGAGCATACAGTTTCAAAACTGCTTCAAGAATGAAGATTGCAGTAAACACCTGAAATGAGATAATCCAAACATAATGGACTGCAATCACAGATATCCCCATATTCATGTTCTTGGATAAAATAATTGCCTGTCTGTTTGTTAAAAATTCCAAAATTAACAAAATTCCAGCTGTAATTAACTCAGTCTTGGCCTGACAAACGGACATTATCAGCAGTGTCATGCCATGTCATGCCATGTCAGCGAAGAACTGAAGAAATCAATGTCAATGAGAGTGACCACCCAAAACATTAAGTCGCCTTGTACAACAATAGGTAGCTGACGCAGCACTCTTACCAAGAGTTCCCGCTGGGGAACCCACAGAACAAAACCACTGTCGATATTCTTCCAACAATGAGAAATGCTTCAGACTGCCAGAACAGAACAGACATACTGACCCACTGAAAAAAATGATAGTCTAAGTAGTTTACTGAGACTCACATAATTTGCCACTTTGATGAGGACATTCATCTGTTCTGACTGCCCATGCTGTTCCAGGGCCATGATGATGGTGTTGAGGATAATACTGAGGGTGATGAACAGGTCAAACAGGGGGTCACTGATGAAGGCATACACCATGCCCTCAGTGCGGAGCAGGGGTATGAAACACTTGCAGCAACTACGGCAACAGATGCAGTTTCTGTCCACAAGCTCATTTGGGCCGGGAACAACGTCAGGGTCTTCATCCGCTGAAAGTAAGCCACAGAGTTAAATACCTGAACTTTGTAACAATGATTTAACCTGCACTGCACCCTAAACATATTTAACAGACAAAATTGCAGGACTATCAGGAGAAACATCCTATTCTGCCTTCTCTCTCCCAACCAATCTATCATTCTGCTATATTGAGAATTCCAGATGATTGTTACTCTTTACAAGAAATCTGTTGGATAGTGAAGCCTCTTTAATCAACATAATTACTGTTTTCAGTTAACTGACTGACTGACTGAGTTTGGTTTTACGCCGCTTTTAGCAATATTCCAGCAACATCACGGTGGGGACACCAGAAATGGGCTTCACACATTTTACCCATGTGGGGATTCGAACCCGGGTCTTCGGCGTGACGAGCTAACGCTTTAACCACTAGGCTACCCCACCGTCCCGTTTTCAGTTAAATTGTTATAAGTAAGAACTTCCTGAATCATGAATTAGGGTATTGTCAGCTGTATGTACATGTACACAGACATTCCTAACAGTAATCACTTGGAACAAAAGGCCTTCCAGAATAATAGGATCTTGATTAACAGGATTTTTAGACATATTTTTAAGAGCAGAACTATAGACCTTTTTCCCTACCTGTGATAGGAAAGAATATGTGTTAAATACCCCCCACAGCTGATTGAAATGAGGATCAAGTTCCCTTAATGCATGACTTTGCAGAACATGTGCATAGTGTCAATGTGGATCATTGCTCACACTACGAACCACTGTTCAGCAGGTCTACCTATATTGTAGTTTCATATTACGACTGTTGTGTTACCTGAATATCTTCCCCAAAAAAGCAACCATTCATGAATATTTAACAAACAATGCTGATAAACTGTTGATGTATATGTTCCTGAAGATCTATATGTTTTCAAAGACTGTCCAAAAGGATGTTTGTATTTTTTTCTGCTACATGATTTCATCTGACATACTTTGTCATTGTGGAGCTCAAGATAATAATCTTTCTGGTAATATGAATAATCTGTGTTGGTCTCCAATCCTCATACTTGTGTTACAAGACCTCCAGGTCCTCGTTAACAAGTGCATCAGGTTCCACTCCAAAATACAACCACAATTTGAACACCTCAATTACCAGATCTAGTTACATTAAGCTGCTTTACAGGGTACAGAGGAGGACATTATTTCACATGTGTGATAATGCTTACTGACAGGTGAGGGATTAGTTTCAATGTGGATATTTTCTAAAGGTTCATATACGTCATCAGATGGGCAGTAAAACACTCTAGAGCTCATTCATTAGGAGCTCATGATTGCTTTTAGTTTGACCTTTCTTCCTTTTCAGTTTATAAACTGGACTGCACTTACACAAAAGTTCACAGTTTTGCCGAATTCAATAATGGACTACAAGTACAATCATTGTCATCATTATTAGTAGTACTGGAATAAGTACCTCTGATTATAACAACACTTGTCTCTTTGTTCTCTTCAAGACTGTTGAGTTCACTGACGGTGGATTCCCTCTCAAATATCACTCCGGACGAAGACACCTACACAACAAAACAATGCTGTTACAATACAAACAGGAAAACATCTGTACAATAGTTTGAGCTCAATTGTCCTTTCACTCTGAAAAGAAGCGTAATACCTTCAGAAACACTATATAGCACACACATCAAAACTAGTTCTGAAACAATGTAATCTAAAACTGCAATTCTATAATATTTCAGTATACCATCCTCATTTGAACATATATAAAGCATCAACAAAAACATATATACTTCACCGTATCCAGTCTAATATGACTTTTATCAGTTATCCAAAACTGTTATATTTTCTACTTGTTTATTTTTTAAATAACACTCAGAAACATTTCAACTATATGACACAAGCCTGTAACTAATTCAGTGTGAACTGGACAATCCAGTGACTGACACAGATGTCTCCGTGTCTAGCATATTTTCCTAACGACCAGTAAAAATGGTGGTCCAGTGTTCTAGTGTTATTCTGGGGATGAACAAGGAAATGTAAGTATGAACAACTTGAAATCAGCAATAGGCTTCAAACTCAAAGCAAAACCAGTAACCTAAGCATCCTCTTTGAGTGGTTTCTTTCTAAATACGCAATAAAGATTTAGCTTGTGGTCATTTTAGACCATCGTGTCAGGTAGAGATCCAAAAGGACAAATAGATTTTATTTTTTTTGCTGGTCCTTTGGACCCTGACATACTTCGGCAAGTGTCAGACACTGCACTTTCAACATGTATAGGTTGCAGGTTGCAGGGCACTAGTTCTAACACAGATTTTGATATGGTCCTTCCACATTTAAACCATTCTGGAAGGTTTCCATTTCAAAGGGAGACACTAGTCGTGATATTGGCACTGCTGTCAGCATAGGTATACGGCAATGTATATACATATGTACATGTTTCATACAAATATGTTCCTCTAGAATATAGTCTCATGTAACACCCCATTAACAGTCTTAATTAGGTAAAGTAGTGTTAGAAATGTAAACAAATGTCTCAAAATGGAAATCATAAATACTCCCGAGTAAATATATATTTTTGTACTTTTGTAGGGGAATAATGGGTCTTAATAGACAAGATGCATTGCAGCTATACTTTCCACTGAGGTTTTGTAGTACCTGTGTCGATGATGGCCTCATCTGTTAGCCCAGTGAGTGGCACTAAGGTATCCCAGTCTAGAGGCTACTGTTTCTTATTGCCTTAAGCCTCACAGATTATACTTAATTCATCACATAAGTTTCATCATACTTCAATCAAAAACAGTTCAATCCTCATGACAAATGAAAGCAGCCCAGTAACTCCCAAACTAACTACCACAATGTGTAAAACAAGAAATCATTTGGTCTACTTCACTTCAAATGAAGTCATTCAAATAATTACGAGGATGCAGACTGAACTTTAAAAAAAATGAATGTTTCCTTTGAACAACACTGGCTTTCCTAACCAACACCATTGTTTGGTAAAGTCAATATGTTATGAAGCCAATGAAATATTAATTCAGATGCAGAACATCCAGACCCAATACCCGACTTGACCCACCAAAGGTTGTGTAATATGTATGTCATGTCATTTAGCTGACAAAGCAACACAGTTATACCAATACTGATAAAACATTATTTGTTTCCAGATAACATACATACAAAACAGTACCTACAATATACACATCCTTGTATTTCAGTAATGAACATTTAAAATAAATAAATGAATGTATAGTTTGCCCTACATTTCCCTGAGGAGATGCATGATTTCCTAAAGCATATTGCACTCAGGTACTGGGTATCAGACTGAGTATTGATTGTATGTGTGTACATGAAATGGCAAGGACAACAAGTCTTCATAATTCAGTATTTAATTGTATTCACCTGGCCCACATATGTACGTAGTGTGACCAATGCCTATTTGTTGAGAGGTAGATCAAATCCTCACAAAGACATCACAGAGATCAGACAAGTGTAAATTTGCCTGTTCCAAACAGTGAGTTTACACTACAAATCCCTCCAATGGAACAATGCCTACCTAGGGAATACCATTATTGATCTGCAACTGTTGAGAAAACAAATACTCATAAACACTGATGCTTCCAACTCCAAGGAATGTGATCATCTGACACAATGCTGCTGGTAAATGAGAGGGTTATTAGATACCATCAGAATTAATCCTTCAGGATTGTATTGACAATCTGAATTATTAACTTATTATGACTAGTAGCTTTCAATTCTGTAAAAACTTATGATGTATCAAAATTGAATTTCTGCAATTGTTCAGAATAGTAAACTGGTGTATATTGCATAAGGGACACAGGTTGCCCAGTCATACAAGGAGCTAAAATTCACTATACAGGCAAGACAAAAACCAGTTATTGTGACTTTGAATCAGGGATTCCCCCAGTTGTGTTTCTAAGATTTGTCCCCATCATACCTGTACTTGTGGGTTTTACCAAAGCAGTAGATAACAGAACCTGCAATACTTCGGTCTTTCCTCCAATGTTAACCATGGTTTAAGTGGAATGCCGTTCACATTGGTCTTAATCCCAACTCAGTCACTCAGCGGAACAATTAAGTATAGTACTGCAATAGTTTCAATAACTTTTGTGTTATGATTACAATACAAGTAGAACTGTAATAAGACACGTAATGTGTATTGATCAGTGCCATTGTGTGTGTGTTTGTGTGTGTGTGTGAGTGTTAGTATGTGTGTGTGTGAGTGAGTGATTGTGAGTGTGTGTGAGTGAGTGAAATATGTAGTCTATGAAAAAGACTCCTAAGCTTTCAGGATTATTTTGAAACACTGATTTCACCCCCATTTCTTCAACTCCAGATATATCATATAAGATTTTCATCCCTACCTTCCTAATTACCAAAACCCCATCTCATATATATTTAAAAAAATAATATTATCGTCTCAAATAACCTACATTTTTTACCATATGGAATAAACCATATTCATAGTCCTGAAAGACATCTAAGTTTCAAGCAAATCACATATGTCAACAGTATAGAAGCCTTCAACAGTTTGCTTGAAAGAAAAAAAAATATATACATAATGTTTCTCGCCCTCGTTTTCCAGCTATTCTCTGTCCCTTGGGTGCCACTGCCAAACAAACCTTTAACTTTTGATAAAATGAACTGGTCTCCTGGTGCTTGTTGTCCCAGAAGTTGACTTGATGCCAAACTTAAGCCATGATAAATTGATAATGAGATCTGAACTCCCTTGCTTGTCCATTGTGGTAACAAACCCTGACAGCCACTTGCCACACCTGTCTCTTAACCTAAAAAATGGTTTGCTCTTAACCTAAAAAATGGTTTGCTCTGAAATGGTAAGGTCAATTTCGCAGAGAAATACTTGATAAAATTTCAAATACTTCCCAGACAAATACCCCTTTAAACAGTATATATCAGATATGTCATGTCTGGTTTGGAAACAAGATCAATCCTTGAAATGTTGCTGCAAAATCAAGTTTCACCATTAGGCTAATTCAAGGATTTCAAATTTGTTATGAGCAGATCCTAGCAGAGCAAAGGGACACTACCCATCACACACATAAAACCACTATACCCCCTATAACTCTGAAAGAAAGGAGAATGTTAGAGGCACAACGATCCAACATCAGGGCAACGCAATTATGATAACTGGAATTTTCAAACTTATTAGACAAATTTTATATGCCGTTCCCAAATTAAAAGGCACACTTAAAAAAACAATGAAAGTAGATGCATGCATGGTTACTTAATACAAACACAGACAAAACATTCAATTACACGACACCACTGATAAGATGCAGTCATGTATACACACATTCTTGCCAAAGAAATGAATTGTGTTTTATGCAGTATATATGCTTAAGATTTCACATTTGTATCAAACCCTCACTACCAACAAATGTAACAGTAATCGAATACAGCTCAGATAAATAATAAAACATACTAACCACCAATATCCCATTATCATGCTTTGACAGAGTATCTGTAGTAAAGCATGATTGATAAACTCTAGTAATATGATAGAATAGGGTGTTCTTTTGAGCAGTACATATGCCCAGTAGATGTATTATGCTGCAAATATTAATTAAAATATTTGTGTCTGTGTTTCTGTCTCTGTCAGGTTGAAAAATGAGGTTCAAAATTGAACATTGACTGTATTAACTGCTGCAAACTGATACTGTCTTGAGAAAATGAGAAGTGAGAGTTGGATGCTGTGTAGTGCAACACGGTGGAGACTGCCACATGCCAGATGACACACAACGAACACAACAAACACAACCAACAAAGCAACACAGAGGTGTACTCACTTTCAAAAATCCCTGCAAATTGTACAAAACTCTTTCAGTTAATTAGTCTACCAAATGATAACATTTTGTCCTCATTTGCATGTAGTATTTTATGGACTGTTACTGTTCTCTGGATCACATTTATATGACTTCCCTGTATTCTAGCATGCTGCCACTACAATCAAACTCCAATCACCAGTTAGCTTGTCCATGCATACAACAATAGTTAAGTATTGTGATATTGGCAGTTTACCATTATATCTAGAAGCCCCTCACATATAAAGTATATATATACCAGTCAGTTGACATTTATTTTTTGTAACTGTATATTGCAAAATGCCTACATTTGTTTAAATCTGAGGAAATTTACATTGCAATAAATTGCATGTTATTATTTATTCTGTATTGATTTATATCAATCGAAAAATCCATTTACTTGTCTGTCATCATGTGGTGTAAAAACATTAAGTCAATTATTTAATTTGACCATTTATTTGTGGCGCCTTTACTTGACACTAGACATAAAAGTGGGGGCCATGAAAGAAAAAAACATAACATAAAAGCATTAAAGCAAAAAGGTTGAAAATTGAGGAACCAGTCATTAATATATTTTATTCACTAAAGGTGGTGATAAAAAAATGTAACCAGTATGTAAAACAGGGGAAAATAGAAACGTTAATGAAAGAAAAAAGGGATACTTTAACATTACATCTTCTTACTTATTTATGTACATGGATAGAATTACCACCATGTATAAGATTGTGTGAAACATCCTTACAAAGATAAGAATAGCAAATTCAAATGTAGCAAGTATGCCAATAATACTAAATAAAATAGCATTACTCATTTTGTTTCCATCTAATGTTACATCCATAGTTTTAGTCATTAAGTAAGTCATTGTGTTCCAACAAACGTGTGTTCATTATGAAGTATTAAGACATTACAATGAAGTATGAAGACTTTATGATGAAGTATTAAGACACTATGAATAAGTATTAAGACATTTATGATGAAGTGTTAAGAAATTATGATTGAGTATTAATACATTATGATGAGGTATTAAAGCATTGCTATTCAATATCAAATAGAAGTAAATTAAGGCAAATGAATGAATACAGATTCATCTAAATCTGTTACACCAACAAATGATAGTGTCCAAAGTTAGAACTCATTATAGTAACCAAGCATGACCTCAGATTAATTTTCCTGCCAACAATCCTGTCAGACTGAAATCTGGTAGGTTTACTTACATTACCACGGCTATTCTGTTTGATCAGTGTTCCCTTAAAGGCATAGTTGATGCTGCTGCTAGCTTCACTGTCTGTTTCAGCATCTTCTGGGTTCTTCAGCCTCTCTCTGCTGTCTCTGTGTTTGAGAACCCTACTCCCCACTGAACGACTGCTGTTTTGACTTCGGGATGAGTAGCCACTGTCCTTGCTTGGGATCTTGACCATGGGCTTTTTAGGGTTCACAGGAGGTCTAGGCTTTTTCTGTGGCTGTTTCAGCCCTTCTGTTCCTTGTGTATCATTTTTTTTCAATTCAGCCTTCTTATCTTTCTTCTTCTTATCGTCACCTTTCATTTTCCTGCTCGCTATGGTTATTTTTGTTAAGTCGTAAATTGGATTTTGATTCATTTTTTTCCTTTGGCTAGCTTTTTCTCGTTCTTTCTCCTGTGAATGGTAACATGCAATGTTTCCTGTGTATTTTCTTTATTCGTTCAGGCATTATTCATACCCAAGTTACATAATGATTGCTGTTCAAAGGGTTTTTAAATATGGTTCCCACACCTAATTCTCTTAGCTTTGACTCATGCTCTCCAAACCCCTTCACTTCAGTACTGAATCCCAAAGTAAAATGTGCACAATATTTCCATTTCTCCAGAGTGACAAAAGATCAGTTGAGTTTTCCGAGATAATAATTTCGAAGTAATAGAGTTTGCACCAAACACACTACTCCTTGGAGAATAGAACAATATATTTTCATCTACAACAGATTTAATAATCTCCTTAAGACTTCATAGTAAATAGTACACCAATCTTCTTTGGCTTCCCACTCATGATGATTATGCAGAGTATTTTTGTAGGACATTTAGATGATGCCATGCTGCATATTTACTACAACACATGCACTGAACATGCCATGTCTGACAATTTACCATGCAACATTCAAGTGAAAGTGATTACACAATGTGCAAATGAGATTAAATCTGTAAACCCATTAACATTCACGATGCTCTATGACTGACTGTATATTGTTACATAAAACAATTATCATAGGCAAAATAGATTTCCATGGAGCACACAAAAATATCTCACAATATATACTTCTTTGTCTAAAAAAATATTTTTCATGATAAAAACAAGCATTGAATGTTTTCAACATTTTGCCTCAGTTAATGATTTTCTTTTCAAGAAAAAATGGTCATATGGTATACCGTATGCCATTAGGCTGTATTAAGATAAATGACCAATCTTAAGATCAATCAGCCCTCAGGTAGCTCCCACAGGCAATGATTGCTCCCTAATCTCTCGTTCAGCAGAGATCTCTTGACAAATTTGAGTGATTCTTACCTTCCCAGCACGCACTGCTTCCTCCTCGTAGGACATGGCGACGACAGCCAGCATGAGGTTAATGAGGTAGAAGGAGCCAAAGAATACCACCAGGATGAAGAACACCAAATTCCAGGGACCACTAGCTCGGATCACCTTCACAGACATCAAAATACCATCATCATTCAATCACAAAACTACAAAATAGTCCCTGAACTGAGGAATAACAGACTTTGGTTTAAGGATGCATTTAATGCTATTTCTGTTATATCACAGCATATCAGCATAACATTGGAAGAAAGCTCAAATCAATTACCCCAACTATGTGTGATGAAAAACATGAACATGGGTATAGTGCTGACAAACTTAGAAACATAATTAGGGCAAACTGGGATTCGAACCCACAATCATCAGTTTTTCTGGTGCCCAAGGCATGCAAGGGATTGTTTTCAACATTTTAGCCTTCACATGCTAGAAGGTGTTAAAAAACAATAACCTTTCTTTACTTGGGATGAAAATAGTGTGATTAGACATAAATCACCTACCTTATTATAAGTGTCCTCCCAGAAGTCCAGGGTGATGAGTTGGAAGGCATTCAGCATGGCCCAGCCAAAGTGGTCAAAGTTTGTATAGCCAGAATTTGGGTTTTCTCCAATGTCAGGTAAACAGGTGTAGTTTGCAGGGCATTGTCTGCAGAAAACAGACAGTATTATCTCTATAGGTGTAGCATACATAACTTAGCTGACATAAAAGCAAGATCTTTGAGAGACACTTGAAGTGAGTGAGTGGTCTTCTACCGACTTTAACAATATTCCAGCAAAATCACAGGAGGGATACAGTAAACCCGGGTGAATTGAATGAGACGATGATGTAAACTGTACCATCACCCTGAGTGACATCTACAAGTTTGACATATCTAACAAATGACAAGATAGCATAGACAGGGATGAGAATGAAATTTTGAGAAAAAACTCTGAAAACTAGCCCGGTTGGGGGACACGAAGCTCCTTATATTTAGGCATTTTAGACCTTCAAAACTGGCTCAGAAATGGCTCAATATTTTTGGCCTATATTATATACATTGGGGCATATGCACTCACTTTAGCTTCATATTGATGCAATAAAAGACTTATTATCCCTTACGACTTGCCTGAAATTGATAATGGAAACTTTGAGGCCAACAGCTTCCAAACAGGGAACATTTGCCATATATGGAATGTAAACAATTCATCTGTACATCTGCAGTGTTGTCTGTGTTTGCTGAACAGGTTTCAATCACAAGTTGTGCGTAGGATATTCAGTAAAGAGCGCTTCAAGGGTCATAATTCAATGGGGTTCCCTTGAAATAATGTTTGGCCGGTAGAGGGCATGAGAGTCGATTTACTGCAACGTTGCATTAAGTCAGTCAAACTTTTTAATTTAATGTTGTAATCTAAATATGTCTATTTCTAGTGAAGTGTGGTGTGATATAGTGCCTTTAAGATAAAATAGGTGAGGTGAGGTGAAATTGGGTTTAACGTCGTGCTTGAGAATATTTCGCTCATATGACGACTAAGATAAAATAGAAATCAACTACACTTACCCTGATCCTGTGATGTTTCCACACAGCATATACCCTCCATCACCGTCAGCCAGCCAGTTGCCTTCAATGTCATAGAACAGCCTGTTATACTTGATATGATCATGTTTTTCACGAATAAATAAATTGAAAGTGATTCAGAGGAATTTGATTAGTTAAGGGAAACATAGACTGGCAGAGCAAAAATTAAAACCAAAACATTAGCCCTGAGTGAGTGAGTGAGTGAGTGTGGTTTTACGCCGCTTTTAGCAATATTCCAGCAATATCACGGCAGGGGACACCAGAAATGGGCTTCACACATTGTACCCATGTGGGGAATCGAACCCGGGTCTTTGGCGTGATGAGCCAACGCTTTAACCACAAGGCTACCCCACCGCCCCATTAGCCCTGAGCAGCTATCCTGTTAAATACCGGTTGATGAGTGTTGCTTGTTTGGGTTGTTGTCCACATTTTGTTGTGTGGTTCAGATTACTATTCATTTTGTGAAGTTACTGATTTATAGATTAATAAATATAAAATGGTTGTGCACACTTTGCATAAGTTATTCACTCGATATGCACATCAGTATTTACGTTTTACCTCCATAAATGAAAACAAAAGTCAGTAAATGATATGATTAAGCCTTAAAGCTGGAAAAAATGCCACTTTTGAGAGTATGTTGGTTATATCACATGTCACCTTTCGACAAAATCCCAAAGCGATGCAAGACATAGACTTTTATATTTTTGACAAAACAAACGATCATAATCCCATTGAATTTGGTTCTTGAACCTAAGATTAACAGATACTGGCACATCTGCAGGCACAAAGTTTTGTAAACTTGCCCACTTGTCTTTGAAACAGAAGTGTATTTAACAAATATTTTCCTATATTCTGCTCTGGTCATCCAGTATATTATCAAATTATGTAGATTACATAACACTGACAGACCAGTCAGAATGCAGAACTCTAAAGTATCCTATTAGAATGTGAGAATGAGTGTGTTGATGAGCATTTTAGAACGAGTTTAAGAGTTACTTACTTGAGTTCCGTATATGTTCAGTGTAGTGGGTAACATATATAGAATCGGACTGTGTGAGGTTAAAGTTCAGGACACACTTTTGTCTGAGTCCTCCCATGTACACTTGCAGAGCAAACAGAGCGAACACCATCAAACAAAACACTGTCAACATTATCACTTCAATCAGCATCTTGAAAGCTCGAAGCAGGGCACCAACTATAGTCTTCAGACCTGAAAGAATGGCACCACAGAATTAACATTTGATTACACTTTCATACAACCAGAGTTTAGATTCTGTTACATCCCAAAAGATTTATATAATCAACACAATGCAGACAAAGTTAAGTCAAACGTTTATTCCATGATGTACATTTTAAACCAAACACTTACATCTGTTTATTACTGTTATCAAGTGAATTTCATTTTCAATTTATCATGATAAACATCCTAGACTCATTCGATGCCATAGCTTTGTTTTTAACGGATGGAATGACATGATGTGAAGGAAATTTAGTGTGTAGATAGTAATATGAGTGATGGATGTGGTGACTTTCAAAATGAAGCTATACTGGCAAACATGTCCAAGATATTTATCAAAAATACAAGGATATTATGAAAGATGACTATTGCTAGCACTATCATCAATTGTATCTCAGACCAAGGTGGAAGTATGAACTCTAATGGGAAGCATCAAGAGGCCTACCTGGTATAATGGACACTGTTTTTAATGCTCGGAATACCCTGAATGTCCGCAGACTTGTGAGATTGCCAACTGAAAAGCCTGGAGCTGCAGCTTGGATGATAGTTGTGACATACCTGGGAACAAATATCATCGGTGATTGCACTACCATCACAAAATTTGTTAGTCTTATCTCAACTGAAAAGGCTGACTTTAAAGATAGGATTAGGGGTAGAAAAGTTGGTGATTTTTACAGTGAAGTAAGCGTCTATTCTCTGACAGTATCCTGGTGGATGTTCATTGTAGTGTTCACGAATGATGTTTCAAAGTAACAGGACATTGGGTCCTGTAAGCTTCAGATGTCTGTCTGACCCATTGAAAATTTACAGGACCCAAAGAATAAAATTAAACACACATCTCAGATTTAACATTTCTTATAATTGGCATTGAAATTATTAACAAACATAAGATTTATAAACAGCAAACAAGTGTCACATGTCACATATAACAACTCCAGTCAAAGTCATTGTGAAATATACAGTCAGACACTGGGGCTGGTGGGTTGTAGACTTCTATCAGACCTTTGGCGAATCTGCCGGATTTGTCGGAGGGTCAGACGCTATTCGTGAACACTGGTTCATTGCCATACACCATGTGTAAAGTATTGTTTGAAATGGAAATTATGTAAACAGCTCAACATTTACACCTGATGTTCTCAAACAATACTGTGGAAACTATTTCAGCAATACTGAAATAAAATGGAAGATGTGACTATGAGAACAAGGAACAATTTCAAATGAAAGTGTACACCATCCTCTAACAGGCTGAATGACCAGTTACTATCTTGAAATCACACCCACAATTTTCCTGAACTGTCAAAATGTCATTACATAGCATTGTAACACAATGTGAAATCATTTCATTGTCATGATACACTTACAACAGTTCATATTCAGCTCAGCCAGTGAGTGAAAAACAGGGTTAATGTGAACAGACAGCCATAAATGAAAAGCATGAGCATGGTACTATGGTGGCAAGAACAATCAGAATGAATCTGGTATTGTAACCCATGAATGTACAGTGGATTCTTGTATGGGTAAGGGATGCAACTATGTCCAGTAATTACAATATTCCAGTTTCCAAATAACAATGTATGGTATGGATTTGCAGCTTCTTTATTATTTACCACACTTCTTGCCCAGAAACGCTGTGTTGTAAATACATGTAATAAAGAAGTTGTAAATCATACCATACATTGTTATGTTACCTTCCAACTTCTAAATGGCCATCAAGCATCTGGTCTAGTTTCTAGTTTTGAAGATTTTAGTGTCTAATCGTAGATAAAAATGGTAAATCAAATGTCCATTTATTGCCTGCTTCAACATTTATTATCCAAAATGGCTTCTAATGTAGCCATAGTAGATATTGCGTGGGTAAGAGTCTCTGAGGAGATATTGGTTTTTTTTATCAACTACTGGTTAACAGGAATAAGCATTAGCTTGAAATTTAAATGTTTGTATCCGAGTGATTATATTTTAGATTACCTTTTACTGACAAATATATTGACGTACATCTAATTCAATCAGTGCCACTGCATAACCGTCCAATATGGATCTCCTTGATTGGTGATAAGGTGACTGAGTACTGGATGTACCATAACTGTAGCATCACAGCATAGTAACATTACACTTTCCACCATCATGTCATAACAGAAAGCCAACACATCTTTAGTATGGGAATATTTCTCAGTAGCGTATACTCTTGACAACTTTGCCATTTTACCCCCAAAAAGTCATTTAACTTGGCATAATCAGTTTGCAAATTCATATCATACAATATTAACATTGTAAATTCTCATACATATTTTATCAATATAGAATATATCTCAACTGCAAGAGATTCAGCAGAATTAACAGGTCTCAAATGTCAATGCATTCTCAAATGAATGCTTGTTGTATGCTATGTTTAACATAAATATATTTTCTTATTTGTTTCTCTTGATAGGAAATATCAAGACTTATTGACTAAAGTAGAAAAATTCATCGGCAAACTTCAGAGCTTTCACACCATCATCAGCTTATGTTGATATATTTGATGTTAAGATACTTGGGTGAGATTCTCTACATCAACACTGAGTCAAGGGTGAAATGGTAGAGATTGCCTGGACTGTCAGAAATCTAAATTACTACCATCAGACCTTCATCAGCGTTGAATCACACACATCCTCATAACCTGAACACTTGACATTAAACCTAAAGATTTTTCTCTATACAATACCACACAACTCAAAAGAAAAAGCCAGTAATCAGGTCAAGTTGTCCTCCTATTGTGCATCATTAAAGAGATACTAATGCCTCACTTCAATACAACAATGTCAAGGATTCAATTCAGTGGCAATTTAGAAAAGTTGCCTGCAACAATCAATTAAGTACATAATCATTATCCTTGATCCTATTGATTTTCTGTTGTATGTGTTTCTTATGCTTGATGCACAAAATAATGATCATTCCAAAATTGTAAAAACTGCCAGAGGTGTGAACAGAACAATTATCCAGGTATTAGTCAATGACAGACACAAACAAACTATTAATCACATATATTGGGTTCCTGCCAGTTTGACGTGAATTGTCTGGTGTATGGTGGATAAAACACAGTACTCAAAACAACAACTAATGATCAATTATACCAACAAGATATTTTTCATTCTTATCTATCCATAACAGTTTGATAAGCTATGTTCACACATGAAAACTAAACAAAATATGAACATTACAGACTTAAACAGCGTTGTTTGACACCATAAGCAGAAAATAAATCTCTTTATGGAACCTCTTGTTCCCAGTATATTAAAATGCATGCTAGGACATTGTGCAGAAACAAGGAATTCTATGGCAAGATAACCATCGTGATTTAACAGAAGATAGACAAATGTTTTCCCCCACACAAAATGGGAGTATGAGTGGAGAAATGAAATAACTCAAATACACATTTTCAGCATATTTCTCACTGGTCTTGACAACCTGCCCAAATAGCGGAAATGCAGAGCTTGTGTTCAACATCTGAATAAAACATACTTACGCTATGACTATGACAATAAAATCCAGCCAGTTCCACGGATCCCTTAAATAGGTGTATTTGTTGATAAAAAATCCTCTTGCTATTAACTTGATAAACATCTCTAATGTGTATATTCCTAAGAACACATATCTGCAACAAAAGAAAACCACATGATCAATATACAAATCTGATAAGGTAAATATAATTAAAGATATATCATTAAAACCGATACAAATGTCTCAAAAACCATTCCAGTGCGAGGGCTAATGGTTGTTTGTTCACAATCTAAATCTTGTAACTGTGAAGACCACATGATAGAAACCTAACAAAAGGTACACAATGAACTCAAATATCTAACTTTACCTAAACAAGTACCCTGAAATCCTGTTAGTCCAAAATATTTGTGGGAAATTTTAAATAAATGCAGAGCAAAAGAAAATACATACCCCAGTTTGATGGTGGCAAAAAATGCACAATCAATGAAATGGTTATTCAAGGGTAATGTATTTGACATGAGCGTAATAATTCTGGTTTGGACCTTAAGTTTGCAGTGTTTTGGATATTGTTTCCAGCCTATTAATGTTTTGATAACAATAGAATTTGTTTGTCAAATCTTCATGACACGTTCATCCTGGATGTTTATCAGGACTAATTTAACACTGTACTGTTTAAATAACCAGTTACACTATATCTGATCTTTACTAAGAAAGTGTAATCCCAAATATAACATGTTATATCTGATCATGTTTAGAAAAAGTCGAGAACCTCTAGAACAATGAACTGTCTTTCTATACAGTGTTGCCCTCATTTACGTAATGACTGACTTTTTCTTGATATTTGGAACTGGTGTGAGTTGGGACTGGTGGAACCTTTGCTTGAGAATATATACTTGTATGTCTCTTGTTTCAACACAAAAAGTACCTATCAGCAATACAATTTCTGTTTCACCTACAATACATAAAGAATTCCTGCTACATGCGTCAGACCATACAGTCCATCTCACAGTGGAGGGAACATCTCTTTTACAGTGGTCCCCTTGGGGAATTATTTTGCAGAAATACCAGCTTCAGACTCCAAAAAAAGGTATTTAGAGGCCATATTTCAGATTGAAACAAGTGAACAAATGTCTTGATCCTGTGCCATCAACCTGATAATGAAAGGCAACTGCAGTTACATTTGCTCCTGCCAAGATCAAAATAGCCCTTACGTCTATAATAAGCACAATGCACCAAAATACACGCACTGGTGATGGTAACTTTGGGGGGGAATACTGATTTTATCTTTCATTTGCTCCCAAACATTTCCAGACATACATAAGATGTCACTCGTCCCCTGTTAAAAAAACATACTTAGTATTTCATTAAAACATACAGTTTGTACCTGTGAAAGAAACTATGCTAATTAAATGGTTGTCATTCATTGTGGTTTTACTATGGCATAGTTGCTCTATCCTCTGGTCTCTTTAACTGTAAGCAGTTAGTCAGAATATGATTAGATACCACTGCAATTATGATTTACTCATTATCCCTGAACCAAATGTCAACTAACAATAAAATTCCTGCTGCTGAAGTGTAACATATTAGAGTTGATACATTCTTTTACACCCAATTACCTTATTACAATACTGCAAAACATAAAGAGATAATTATCCCTCAAACCTACACACAACAAGAAAATGCAAGTTCTTTCAATAAACACTGAACAAAATTACACATCCCAATATTAATGAAATAATGTTGTTTTATTCAATCAATATTCCCCATAGCTGCCTGTAAAGAATTGTGCTTATTAGTGTTGGGAATTGGTTAAAATCTCATAATTGATGATTGGTTCAATACAATCGATCAATCATCAAAAATAATTGGTTAGTGTCATTTATGAAATTTTCCTGGCCAGTTTTGTTAATGCATAAAAAATAAAGAAAATACATGTAGTTCTTTGATTTTTTTGCAAATTGCACAAAATGCATTTGCAAATTTCACATCCTCAAAGGATGACTAGTATGTTAGGAACATAAATTTCTTGGAGTCTTTAAGATGAATTCAGTCATGACTTTGAACGAGGTTATAGTGCTTATACAATGTAACAGTCCAAACCAATCTTGTGAAAAATATTGTTAATGCAAACAAGTTTTGCAGAACTGTTTGTGTTCGATTATGAGAAAACATGATCGATTGCTTGGTCGTTTTGTCACTGCGACCAATCTCTGATTAGTTCAATTAATCAGACCACCACTACACTTTACAAACTAGAGACTTAGCGCATGAGCAACAATCCATTTCATCAAGGTATAAAGACTGGCAAGATGACACTTGATATCTACTTGACCTGCATTTAAGACTGTTCTGAAGATAGCTAGGAACATTGTCAATTATAAAGTGTAATATATTTCATTCTGTCATGTATACCATTTGCGACCATACCATTATTTGAATGGCATGAAACTAAAAATAGACATCCACTCAAACTGCATTGTTCTTTCATGATTGAAAAAAAGTTCCAAATCAGAAATATGTGACACATCCATGTTGCCTCAAATCCTACCAGATCCACTTGGAGCAAAGAACAAAATGATTTTGAGCTCAAGTCTTTAATGGCTTCTGATTGGATTAAACACAAGGAGGACTCACTTGGACGAGGCCCTAATTTTGAATGTACATCTATATATATATATATGTATATTCAGAAGAGTTTAACTGATTGTTGATTTTAAGTATAAGACCATGAGAAATTCTGTGTTAAATTAGTGACAACTGGGAAGGAGCTGGAGACACTTCTTCCAGAAACAAAGCATTGGTGGCCACTATGTCTTAATATAGATATAAAGTTAAGAAGAAGGAAAAAAAGATAATTTCCAACGCAATAGGGTTTGCATTTTTTGTCATGAGACCTGAAACAACACCACGTTTGATAAGGGCCAAAGGATAGCCATATGGGTAAAGCATTGGTTTATCTTGCTGATTACCTCAGTTCTTTACCTGTGTTCAGCTCTGAATAAGGATTCCCCAGAACTATGTGTGGAACTCTTTACAGCTTAACTAGAGTGTGTTATGGATTGAGTAACCCGTGAAGATCAAGGTAAGAATTGGTCTTCAGTAACCCATGCTAGTCATAAGGGGCAACTAACGGATTCAGGTGGTCAGACTCGCTGACTTGGTTGACACATGTCATTGCATCCCAGTGTAGATCAATGCTCCTACCATTGATCACTGGATTGTCCTGATTAGTTACAGACCAATGCCATATAGCTGGAATATTGCTGAGTGCGGCGTAAAACTAAACTCACTCACTCACTATGGATTGAGTATTGCTAAAATAAGTGTTAAACTCACTCATACCCCAGAGGGAGAGGAGATTTGTACTTACTCAGAGGTTTCTGTGAAAGTCATGGTTGGTAAAGCAAGAAAGACACAGTTTGTGATGATGGTAAGGATGACTAAGTAGTCAAAGAACTGATTGGTGGAGATTAACACAGCCATCTTTCGTATAGGACTCCATGGGGAGAAAATGTAGAAAGATCGAGTTGCTGAAAACCGGTATATAGTCTTCTTTGTGACTCGTCTGGAAATGACCACAAATGTCTGAAATAGGAACAAAATGGAATTAAAATTGGATAACAATTTTATATGCTTAATAGGATTAAGCAATTTTTCATACAAGTATACTACAGATGATCAGTTGTATAAAGGAGCATTATATAAGGGTTGAATAGAGGTAGAGTGGCCTTGTGGTAGACTCAAACATAATCAAGGTTAAATTTGCATACAATATTTGAAACTCTTGTTGCTCTGAATACTTATAAAAATTGCATCTTCTTTTTATTGGTTGGTTTATTGACATTTTGTTCTCAAAATATTGGGTCAGTAGTTGAAAGGAAAGACAAAATTAAATTTGACCCTTCAATTTTTGTTTATTTCACAATAAAACAGTGTTGGCAAGGTATGGAAGAAAACAACATTGGAAAATCTCTATTTTTATTTGTGATTTTTTTTTTGCATTTATATTGGAACAGTGTCACACGATGTGTGGAGTGTTGGTGGAGCTGTGAACAGTATTTTTCATTCATATAAAAGAGCATCATTCATGCATGCACCGTGAAATCTACGTCTGACGCCTGACGTCAACAACCCTTTTCAGTTTGAGGCATATCGGCTCATTCCACGCCACACGTTAATTTGTAGATTACAGAATGGGACGAGTGTGCCAAATGGCATCGGATCCATTCGGCAATTGTCCGTAGAATAAAATCACGAGTCACCAAGTCTACCCGTAACCTTCGTAATTGTCTGTGACCTATTCGACTCTTTCCGTTCATTTCCGTGACGTCACAGGAATGACTCGATAAATTTGCACATTGTGCAACAGTGTGGACGTAGCTCAGTCGGTTAGCTGTCAAGCTAACAATCCGAAGGTAGCGGGTTTCGCGTCCAACGGGTTCTCACAAACTGGTTGCTTGTCTTAATGACACGTGACCTACTGCAGAGATCGTCCTCACGAGAAGTTGTGGTGCTGTATTCTAAAGGTGCTCCCTGTTTTGAGTGCATTTACAGGTTGTTGAGTATACAGTTGTATATTACTTGTCTGGGTCAGGAAGAGAAACAATTCATGTAAAAAGCTTTGAATTGGAATTTTTATCCAGATATCATAATAGTCAGCAGATCTGAAAAGTGATTACTGAAAAACACCAACCCCTATAATAACTCTTCATTCATGGTTTCTTAACCTTCTAACATATATAATTGAAACCTAGTCTCAAGAATAATTACTACCAAATGATGGCACACAGCCTGTGGAGCCATCCCTCATGGTGTGATTTCCCCAACAATATCAGGTCCCACCATGATGCTGCCGTCATCAGTCAAAGGTAATACTTCAGCTGATGGAGTCATTGCTTCCCTGACTGAAAACTATTGTCATCACAATATGTTAGTGGATGTTCATATCAAACTCACAGGACCAAACCTCAAATCTCTCGCTCAGCTTAATATCTTTAGCAGTGATCTTAAAAAGAAACAGGTCACTATAATTAGCTATTTAGCTGTTTTCTATTTTCCAGATTCTAAAAACACAAAATCTCCCGACTATAATGATGCCTGTATGATCAGATAAACTCAAAAGAAGTTAATTTGAAAAGAATTTTCTAGAGCTCCTTCTGCAGGTAAATTTTCTTCTTCTTCTCTTAAGTTTCTTGATGATACTAAAATAAAACCGTATTTCCACTGTGCATTCATTCTCCATGAATCACTAACAGAGCTTGCTTAATCAGCACCAATAATTCTTCAGAAGACAGTATCAATTGTTTAATAGATGAGAAGGTCAGTGCATAACATTACCTCAGTAATGAAATAACAGGGGTTAAAAAAACCAAGCAGCATTAGGCTGCTGCTGAGTTTCCTCATCAGCTTGATTTGTTTTATGATATACATGACATGATGGGACTTAAAGAGGTAAATAAATCTGAATGATTATCAACAATTTACTCTTCTAGTAGCAACATACATCAATATTTTGGTCCTCCTCATCAAAATAAGAACATCATACTCCTAATTAATAACTAGTGGCTTAAATGTATGATTCATCATAACTCTTCCAGTACAGAACATTATCATTATGCTGTCAGAGCCTTGGCATCTCTTGAATGTATTGAAATATCTAACAGTATGTAATGACTTGTTCTGACAATGTAACCATTATTGTTTATGACACTAGAACCTTGTGTCAGGAGCACCTCAATGCTAATACATCATACCAAATTAAGCACTTCAAAACCATATCACATGCTGCCATAACATATATATTCAAAATAACCCCAAATAATACAAAATATCCAAGAGAACATGAAGAATAAGATATCTCTGGGCTTGTTACAGAAGCAATGGCTGACGTGGAATCATTACCGCTGCTGAGTTGGAATCATCATGTGAAGCCTTGTTAATTTCAATAACAGCATCGGGTACATCAGCAGGATAGTTGACATGGAACTCGGGTAGGCACCAACCCCTCCAGTTTTGCACTGACAGACAACCAAGGGGCATCCCCCCTCCCAGTAATAACACAAACAATTAATCCTTATGTGAAGTGTTTTCACTGCTGTCTCCTCTAACAGTCTTTCATGAATAAGTCAGGTGCCACCCGGTGGGTGTGAAATTTAATATCCGCTATATCCTGCTGTTTCTAAGACTCACAGTGGAATCACCTCTTGATCATGCATGTAGCATTTACTGGGTTTCTCTAACGCAACTGTTTTGCATTTTGGTGGATTTTGTTTGTTGTGGATCATAATCCCATCAGGGATGTGATTACAGGTAGGTCACCGACACCTGAAGAAAACATTTACATGGAATTGTCAAGTTGCACACATCCATCCATCCCAGTTTCCCACACTTCCCAATCTTCAAATCACTGCTTCACAGGAGAGCTGTGTGTTCATCATGTATTTATGTGAGTAATTAACTTTTGTTTTTCGTGCCACCCTTTGCCTCTGCAAGTGTGGTTTACCAGTCTCCTAGCTTCATCCATTTTGTATGTGAGAGAGCATGGATGCTATTTTCTCCTGCAAGGTAAGCCTGGCTTGGGGGGGCTGCAAGTGTTGGAGTGGGGCAGCTGCCACCCCCCACGGACTCTCAAGTTACACAACACACTGATGAGCCTGCCTGAGATGCTGGTGCTGTAATTACTGTACTTTATACATTTTCCTCCAAATATCACACATCATGTACATCTGAATATCGCCTTCAAGTATATAAAAAAAATGGCTGAGGAATGTTATGCCTTATTACACAAACTCAGCAGTTCCAACTGTTGTGAATGTTTCTACCGCCAGTTCAATAAAAAAGATATGTTGGAAAGCTCAAAGAGTACTTTCGGTGTGAAATATGTGAGCTATATTATCATATGTTCAAAGAGTTTTCATAGACAATTTAACAAACTTACATTGTAAGTACTCTGTTAAGCATTAGAACAATTTATCATTTTGGTGGAAGACTTAACAGCAATAAGATTTTCATAACAAGCTGAATATACATAGACTTGCCAGGGACCCTGCATGTTTCTTGAAAGGCGAGAGCAAGTCTATGTATGTTCACCACTGTTGCATATATTTATCAGCTACATGTATATACAATAGCCAGGGCATTATGAGATGTACTTGTATCAGCTTTAGTCAGAACATGATAGGCATATTGTATCCAAACTGTTAAAAACATGGTAAATAATCAAAGTACATATTTACACACAAAAAACATCATATGGGATTCCATTGTTATATATACTGAGAGAAACAAATAAAGGATCACAGGAAAATTGAAGTGTTCCTTTATTATTTTCCACTTTTCAATACCACAGCCCTATTCAAAGCTGGTGATGAAAATTGGAACATATTAAAGGAATGCTTGAATTTTCCTGTGATCCTTTATTTGTTTCTCTCAGTTTATAAAGCAGCAAACACTGAACTTACCCCAGTATTCATGCATATCAAACGCCAGGCTGGTAAAACACTGAGATCACAGTGGACAATACACATTATCAACAGTGTATTGACATTGTATCAATCTAAATGACAATAAAGTGATTTTTGTTGCATTGAAGACTTGATATGCGATATTGTGCATGTGTGTACCAAGTGTCATATCGTAATAAGCTTTTTAGATGATTTAATCCATAATTTTTACTGTACATCACCTTTAATACCATGTGATCCTTATCTCTTTAATTCGTTTAGTATGGCTTGATGACTATCTTTAAGGCGGAACTGTCATTAGTAACAGAAAATGTATAATGCTCATTTAAGTGGTTGAAGGCACAGCCTTGGTGCAGTTCTTGAATATTTATCAGTACTATGATAGAGAGTCTGGGGATACTATTTACAGTAGTCCATTAACTACAGGCATTACAGGAAATGAGTTAAATCCAACAAACTTTAACTGTGAACACTCAAACAGTACCATATAACACAGATTCTAACTATTCACACTGAAAATATATCAGTTCTGTTCAGTAATACAGATAATCAAGATTACACTATCCGTTTCCTGTAATAACACTTTGCTTCAGATTTTTCTGGTTGCTATGGAAATATCTCGTAATTCCTGACCACACTTGGAGAATGAATGTCAAAGATGTTCTGGAGTTAAATTACAAATGTCACAGACCCGAAGTTTCATTATCAGGAGGAAAAACTAATGATTTCAAATTCTGCATTTAGAGTCTGAAATAACCATAAGCCTTCTTTAATCCTTCAAACGAAAATGCCAGTGTTGTTAGTTCTAAGTAATCAGAATCAAATATCAGGTGTCTTCATATAAAACAAGAGTGTTTTATAACAATAAGGTATGTGTAATTGTTATTGTTTAAACTGTAGGTTTATTTAGGTCCATAATTTCTTTGAATGGTATTCTCTGCCTTGGATTTCTTAAACACTTAAAGATAAATGAAACTTTATGATGCTATTTGTGTTTTCCCAATATAACATTTGTAAATCTTTGAAAGAAATTCTTTTGACTTGGATTCGCCATTGTAAAATGAATGAGAGTGTTAGCTTTAAACTGATTGGTTGAAAATGTTCTTAAATGCCACTGGAACCTGAGTATCTTTCAGACTTGTATTGTGTATGAGGGCTCAATGTAAGGAAATGAAACACACTGTTACTTCGTGCCTGTTGCACAAGACAAAAACATTTTACACCTTTCGCTCCAAGCCAGTTCCTCACCATCCATTTTTCCAGCTGAAGCCTATGTTCTTTGACCAGCAAGAAATTAACATGCCCTAGGTACAAGTCAGTATTAATGTGAGGTTGCTCTTTGCAATATTAGGTTGCACCAGTGCAGCTTGATTACATTCCATACTAACATTTGTATAGCGCCGATATCCAGCTCAGCTCAGCTGCTCAAAGTCGCTTAGTTTTTCCCCCGTTCACTGGATGTCAATCTCAACGGCACATCGTATTGTCAATCTCAGCTCCCTGGGGAGCATATAACTCTTGCAGCCACTAGGTGCACCGAGTTATTGTGGCATTCCCATCTTTACGAGGTACCCATTCACAGCAGAGTGGACTGGGACACATAGTCACAGTACTTTGTCCAAGTTTTACTGCACATTGCTGTACCCGCAACTAGGTGTTTGCACGTATTCATGTGGCCACCATCTGGTCATATACCAACGGATTCGTGGGTTCTTTTAAGTGCACAGGGTTGTGTACTGTACACTAGAGTTGTGACAACACTGAAAGAGTCTGCACACAAAGTTGACTCCAGGGTTTTTACACCCGGTCACAGGTGGGCTCGATCCCGTCACCTCAAGCTCGCTGGATCACTAGCCTGGCGCCTTAGCCAGCTCACCCACCGCTACCCTTTCTCGGAAATTAGACACTTGATGCCTCATTAAATATGTTGTAAGTTTAAGCAATAAGTCAAAACAACCAGTTGTTCAACTAACCAAGTGGAATCAGTTATCATGGATTGAGCGTATGTCATCCATAGTATGATGATGTTCTATCATTCCAGAATGACTTCATGTCTGTCTCACAAATGTGTGAGTTGACAAAGAGAGACAGCGCTATGGAAAACTACAGATAACACTGTTGACAAACACTGTGTCCCCAAAAGGAGTTAATATGTATTTGATGAATTTGAAACCTCTAGCTAAAATTATAATAATAATTAGTGAATTCATAAAGCGTTAAAATACTCCAGGCACAAAGTGTCGGCTCTAAGCGCTATGATGAGTATATACACGGTATTTAAAACGAGTAGGAACGCAGAAACCTAGCAGTGATAGTATTTTCGGAAAAGGAATGTCTTTAAATGAGATTTGAAGTTGTTTAGGGTTGGTGACAGTCTGATATCATGGGGGATAGAGTTCCAGAGAAAAGGAGCAGCATAGCTGAAAGAGCAGTAGCCAAATGACTTCAGATGGCGTTTTGGTCAATGCTAATGCTGTCAGTACAATAACAAGTACAAATCTCCTAATTTAACAATAAAAATTACAATAAGTATTCTAAAATTCATTTTCATCAAAACATAAATTAAATGATTCAATAACTAAAAAATTATGTTCTGTGGTCAAATTCTCTCACGAAAAGTGTTAAATTATGATGAAAAGCTAACAATTACATCTCTGTGGCCTTTCGGACCACCGGTATAACCTAATTATTCCTACAAGATAAGCTACACAGCCCCAGGACATTTGATTTCTGCCATTACTCCTACAGATGACGTAAACTGAATTCCTCTGTAATTCATGATATCTGACCTACTTTCTACTTTGCATACAAATTATTGCTCTAATGCAGTTAATCACTGAAAGGTGCTTGCGAATCTCCCACAGGCAAGCTGATGATGGGATTCAGAATTGTATTCCTCTTCAAGCACTGAACTCAGCCATGATGCTGTGCTCAACATGTCTCCTGGCTTTCTCGGAAATTAGACACTTTTTATCAAAAGACTCCAAACAAAATATAAACTGAAGATATGTGTACATGTTTTTTTCTGAGACTAGAATTAGATCATCTGGTCTACGCAACCTGAACATTAGATAATTTAAAGAGGTTTTATGTGAGCCTTAGCACTATATAACATCTAGAGGAGTTTGTGACATTCTGCTTCAGCAGGTGAAGGACAATATGGCAATCCCTTCGGTCAGTTGGATCAATTTCTTAATCTACCGTGATATGACCGTCTATAAGCCGAATTTTGAGGACCAAAAAAAAGCAGTCTGTAGAAGGGGTCGTCTTATCCATGGGTTACGCTTAGCCGTCAAACTTTTTCCAGGGGTAAGAAAACAACGTCAGATTACTTCGTGTGAACAAACAACAGAAGACGACTTTGTCAGTAGAGACATCAAATTTGCAATAAAACATCACTAGACAAGATTATTTACCTTTTAAGTTACTAGTATAAGTTGTTTTGCTGGTACATCTGAAAAAAAATATTATTGTGCGTGTAGAAGTATATTGTTGAAGAACAGCTGAATGACAGAAAACAGTGTATAAAATAGTTTTGAAATGTGACCTGTCCAAGGATTGGCTGTCCAAAAAAGTGACCAGTCCTGAACAAACACCACCAGTCCCAAAAACATTTCCCCCGACCTTACTTATTTAACAGACAGTCCTTTACAAAAATGGACCGTCAAGGATGGTGAGACGGGCTATACTTTATACACTGCAGAAAATGAATTAAATCTCAAATTTCAGTACCTACATAAGGTTCCATAGCCCTTTTTATTCAAAATGTTACATTCCTTTTATAAAGTAATTTGGTATAAAAACATAAGAATTTTCAAAATTATTAACACTGTGTCCCCAAAAGGAGTTAATATGTATTTGATGAATTTGAAACCTCTAGCTAAAATTATAATAATAATTAGTGAATTCATAAAGCGTTAAAATACTCCAGGCACAAAGTGTCGGCTCTAAGCGCTATGATGAGTATATACACGGTATTTAAAACGAGTAGGAACGCAGAAACCTAGCAGTGATAGTATTTTCGGAAAAGGAATGTCTTTAAATGAGATTTGAAGTTGTTTAGGGTTGGTGACAGTCTGATATCATGGGGGATAGAGTTCCAGAGAAAAGGAGCAGCATAGCTGAAAGAGCAGTAGCCAAATGACTTCAGATGGCGTTTTGGTCAATGCTAATGCTGTCAGTACAATAACAAGTACAAATCTCCTAATTTAACAATAAAAATTACAATAAGTATTCTAAAATTCATTTTCATCAAAACATAAATTAAATGATTCAATAACTAAAAAATTATGTTCTGTGGTCAAATTCTCTCACGAAAAGTGTTAAATTATGATGAAAAGCTAACAATTACATCTCTGTGGCCTTTCGGACCACCGGTATAACCTAATTATTCCTACAAGATAAGCTACACAGCCCCAGGACATTTGATTTCTGCCATTACTCCTACAGATGACGTAAACTGAATTCCTCTGTAATTCATGATATCTGACCTACTTTCTACTTTGCATACAAATTATTGCTCTAATGCAGTTAATCACTGAAAGGTGCTTGCGAATCTCCCACAGGCAAGCTGATGATGGGATTCAGAATTGTATTCCTCTTCAAGCACTGAACTCAGCCATGATGCTGTGCTCAACATGTCTCCTGGCTTTCTCGGAAATTAGACACTTTTTATCAAAAGACTCCAAACAAAATATAAACTGAAGATATGTGTACATGTTTTTTTCTGAGACTAGAATTAGATCATCTGGTCTACGCAACCTGAACATTAGATAATTTAAAGAGGTTTTATGTGAGCCTTAGCACTATATAACATCTAGAGGAGTTTGTGACATTCTGCTTCAGCAGGTGAAGGACAATATGGCAATCCTTCGGTCAGTTGGATCAATTTCTTAATCTACCGTATATGACCGTCTATAAGCCGAATTTTGAGGACCAAAAAAAGCAGTCTGTAGAAGGGGGTCGTCTTATCCATGGGTTACGCCTTCGTCAAACTTTTTTCCAGGGGTAAGAAAACAACGTCGTATCACTTCGTGTGAACAAACAACAGAAGACGACTTTGTCAGTAGAGACATCAAATTTGCAATAAAACATCACTAGACAAGATTATTTACCTTTTAAGTTACTAGTATAAGTTGTTTTTGCTGGTACATCTGAAAAAATATTATTGTGCGTGTAGAAGTATATTGTTGAAGAACAGCTGAATGACAGAAAACAGTGTATAAAATAGTTTTGAAATGTGACCTGTCCAAGGATTGGCTGTCCAAAAAAGTGACCAGTCCTGAACAAACACCACCAGTCCCAAAAACATTTCCCCCGACCTTACTTATTTAACAGACAGTCCTTTACAAAAATGGACCGTCAAGGATGGTGAGACGGGCTATACTTTATACACTGCAGAAAATGAATTAAATCTCAAATTTCAGTACCTACATAAGGTTCCATAGCCCTTTTTATTCAAAATGTTACATTCCTTTTATAAAGTAATTTGGTATAAAAACATAAGAATTTTCAAAATTATTAAAATAATTTTGCTGCTAACAATTTTTGTTCCTTGTAAGATGTATATGTATCTTTCCGTAGCCTACTGTTTTAACCCTCTGTGTGCCACAGAGGATATTATATGTACCACTTCTTCCATCCTCACTTTGATGTTCAATAAAATTCAAAACATCACATACACAAATGCACTTGAAATTCTATGAAATTCACTTAAAATAACAAAGTCTTTTTTTCACAAGTCTTTCCAATTTCGACATGTTTCTAAATCACTATTCACCTCATTCTTAGTGTACTTTTTAAAATCTGAATTTAGAATATTACTTAGAAAATTGAATTTAAAAAAAAAAAGCATAGCCTAGAATTGCATCAAATGTTTTGCGAAGTATGCAACCATGAAGGCCAGTGAACGTATTACTTGACATATATTTCAAACTCTGTTTTGAGAAATGAATCCCTAACTTCCTCCTACATTTACGACCAATCAAGAAATACCAAATGTCTAGGTGAAATTGAGCAAAATGAATTAGATGTGAAAACGAACGTTGTGCTCAGAAAACAGTCGTCATAATCTAAGCCAGCCTGACCTGTTCAGAAAATGAAGACCTCACAACGGCATAATATTATTTTGAGCTTCTTGTGAGAAAAATGACTGCGTATTTTTAAGTAATGATATTAACATTATTCTAAAATCGTGTTTTGTTTTAAGCAAAACAAGAAAAAGTTATTTTTTTAATTTGAGTGTATATGTCCTCTTTTAACAACTTTAAACAATGCTTATTGATATGATATCATTTGAGATCATTTCCAAACTATTGAATTTACTGTAATTTGATGCCAAACCATAGTTGCATCAACTGTGACAAAACAACATTAATGTACTAATCAATTAAGAGACAACATGCTCATGTCATGGTAAATGTACACTAACTACTCATCATTATCTGGTAAATGTCACAGCTAGTATTGTGTTTCTGTACTGACATCCAGCATCTGTAACTTGACGACATCACTGAACTACTTTCATCCTACTTCCTGTCAACTATCACACACACATTAGCTGAACATGTTAATTTGATCACTGAGGCCACAGTTTTTCTATCTTTTGGTATGGAGACACGCCTGTATGGCACCAAAAGAAACATTATCCCAAAATATCCCAAGACAGTATAAACATATTTGTTGTCCTTGCTCTTCTCAAAAATAATATACAACTATAATTTAGCGACATTTTAGTAACTATTACCATTTCAGATAATAATTGACAAAACACATTGTACCAACCAATTGCCACTTCAATTCTGTTATGTAAGTTGGAAAGACAACAAAGCATTCTCAGAAATCAATAAATATATGTTTGTACTGTAAAAATAGAAAACAGCCTGCTCTTAAGACAGCATTAGCATTTTCCACCAGACTAATCCTGTCACATAACATGATAGAGCAACAAAAGTTTACTTATAGTTCATCGACCAAAGTTTATTTGTTTGTGAAAAATCTCTTAACCATGAAACAAAAAAAGACCAACTGAAATCACAATTAGTGCTGCATTGTTACAACTGTAGCAATGCATGTTTAGGTCTGAAGTACTCCACCAGTGGAAATATTAAATTGCATGTTGATATGTTATTATTGTTAATATAGTACAGTTGGTGAAAGCCATAGACTGCTAATCTAAGATTTACACTGTGCAACATGGTAGTGCAGCAATCAACATGATTAGTGTTGGCAGGTGTTTCCACATGTTTCCTTTAGGGCTGCGGGAGCTGTAATACATTCAGAGTGTTGTTATATAAGTCCTGAACCACAATGAAATCCTTGTAGGATTCAGACTGATAAACCAGAACTTGTAATGTGGCATTGTTTTCATCAAACACCTGGTATCACCATTATCTGATTGTGATTGCTCATTATACAGTTGGAACTAACAATCAACATTGTTATTAGCAGAAATTTCTAATACAAACAGAAAGGGATTTGTCACTTTCATTTTCAGAAGGATTTAGTCTTAATACAGAGACTAGCATTATCTGATCTCACAGTTAATAAAATTTACTTGATCCTGGCTTAGTGCAGTTGGTGAAAGCCACAGACTGCTAATATAAGATTTACATGGCACTGGTAGTGCAGCATCAACATGATTAGTTTTGTCATGTGTTTCCACATGTTTCCTTTAGGGCTGCAACTCAGCTGTAATACATTCAGAGTGAAAGTCAAAGATTTCTCTGAAGCTCTGAACATGTTGGAATGCCAACAAGATTTTCTGCAACATCCCTTATCAAATATTTTGTTTCCTATGGTTTGTATTCTAAACCCCATGCCCTCCATGAATGGTCCCTATGACCAGATAACAACTAGAGAAACAGTCTTTGTTGTGAGTGACATAATTTGGTGTGTGCAAGCAAAAGAAAAATAAGCATTGTAAAGGTAATTTTAACACCAATATTGATCCAAATTCCATTTCCACTTCCAAAAGGTAGAATGGTCAAATAAAGATATATAGATATAACCCTACAGGCAAAAGAAAGCATGCAACCATACATGATGGTGGCTAAACAAAACAAACAGGAAATAGTTTGATGGCAATGTATTTCATATGGGTGTCAAAGTTAAATTTTATTTATCCTGGTTTTGGTGGCTATTTTCAGCCTTATATCATTGATAACATGTATAATATTTGGGTGAAATCCACTTGTCTTTTGCCTGGTAGTTCATATCAACACTAATTATTCTGTGTCTAAGGAAAAAAAATTAACATACTGAGAACAAAATTGATAACTTCAAGGTGGGAATCATTGACATATTGGATTTATGTAAGACCCTACGTTGTACTTGTGTTTAGACTCCAAACAGGAGGTGCTGAGATGAGCGTGTCGTATTGAACTGCCCTTACCCATAGTTCAGTTTCAATATGAGAGAATAGTAAAAAAATTCCCAATACATATACAACTGATATTATATATGCTCAATTTAACACCATTTGCCATTTGAGGGGAAAATGTGACAAAGTGCATGTTAAATATCAATTCATTGATGTGGAATATTAGCAATCATGTAAATACACAGTTCATGATATTAAAGGATCATTGTAAACCAAAAGTCACTGTGTTCTTTAATCTGATTGGTTGAAAAACCTGATCAAATGGTATTCGATTCCCCGGAAATTCGCTGCGTATTAATACATACAAACATCGCTCACACCATTGTATTGTTACATAATCAGCTGAGATGAAGTCATTCAAATCATATTGTGACGTAAAGTCCGAATGACGTCACAAATGAGCAGTTCTAGATGCTACCATGGGAGACAGCCGAAACGGACGGCTGATGTACCCGTACTCTATGTCAATGAGTGCAGACACAAAAACGTGTGTGGACCTTTTGGTTTACTTTTGTGTTTACAATGTCGATAAACATCATGTGTTGGCCAATTTCGGGGTGTTATTGAGTATTTGAAGCACGGGAATATTCTATTTGAAACCTCCGGCTGACGCCGTCGGTTCCAAATGAATTCCCGTGCTTCAAATACTCAATAACACCCGGAAATTGGCCAACACATGATGTTTATCTCCCTAATTTATATTTCAAGTGAGAATTGAAAAATTATAGACTAGCCTGAATAGTCATAACATATAAGGTTAGAAACTCTGATGAGAGAAATCTTCCAATAATGAATTGATTAAATATCAAGTATTATTTTATCCATTTTTGTATATTTATTTTTGACAAAATGTTCAAGATATCTATGTGCATTAACTGTCAACAGATATGATCACACACACAATAAATGTTTGATAGGACTGCATGTATAGTGTATTTTGTCAAGATAAGAAAAAACACACAGCAACTTTCATTATCTATTTGGTACTCAGGCAAATAAGAATGAAACAACAAATTTCCTGAGACCCTGTTCATATTTTGATTACATAAAAATAGGGTCTATTTATTAAAAATCCATGACTCTTTCTGGCTAGGACATATTAAAACACCTATTCATCTGGTTATACACAGACTGTTAACCAGAATGTAATTGATTGAAGTACTCGCATTCCAGATCACTTGATATTTCACAAGCAGCATGTCATCGACCAACAAGAGAAGACTTTTTCATTCCATATGAATGTTTCTTTACACAAATAACCAAAGCAGTAATGGATGAATACACAGGGCAAGGTCACCCAAACACAGTGCCAAAGTCCTCTTTCAACATGGAAAGTTAAGCAATTCCTGCAGCCCTTCCAAAGCCCTTATGACATTAATGCTTAATCATGCTTATGTGGGCCCATGAGTGTACTTTCATGACATTATATATTTAATTTGGAGAGGTATTGTACTTGGTATGTATAAAGCCAGTGGCACTGAGCCAGGTATTGAAATCCCTCTACAGTTGGATCTACATGGTCAATGGGACACAGTCAAATCAACAGTATTTGGTCGTATCTAGCAACAACAAAAATACGTCCACCGTCAATTCTTGCCTACAATGGAACGCCAACATTACATGTAAATAGAGTCCAGAATGAATGACATGACATTGTGATGATGTTGTGTCGTAAAGTGTGGCTTGTCACACCATCAGTGGACGTTGAAGTCACATAAGTACTATTATATGTAAGGATATCCCACAGTGCTAGGTGCAATTTAAATATATATTGAGTGATTAAAGATTCACCTACTGTAAGCTATACCTACAAGTCTGTCTTCACTTTTCTTGGCACTGCCACAAGCAAATGTAAATTTAGAGTTTAAAATTAATCGTAAAATTCAAAGGTTTAATGACCTTTAATAGAGATTTTGTTATGACAGTGCACAGCTCAAACTGTCTTTATTGGCAGGAAGTTACTATCATAAATCTTTTGCCAAAACGTCATGATGAAGAAATGGATCAAACTCTTAAATTCAAACAGGGTGTTAAACATAGGGCATTATCTATCAGTATCACATGAAACCTGAATGAAAGGCCCATTTTATATCAATTTGCTTATTGCTTATGATAATAGCAACTGGGAGAAGCTCATGTCGCAGCATTGTAGCCCTGTTTGGAGACGTATAGTACTGTCACTTATAAATATGTATGAAGTAATCACACATGACAATGCATCACATATCCCTTGATGAAAGATTTATCA